GCATTTATAAAACTGATATATAAATTAAGAAAAATCCATTGTGAACATAATGGAATGCATAAAACTCTCATCGAATAAAATATTAAGAAAAGAAATTAGTAACATAACTCGAAAAGTTTTCCCCCCCACATTATTAGAGGAACCCTTTAGCACAACTTCATCTAAACTTTTCATTAAGATCAGACTCCCCTCCCCCCCCCACATTCTTGATTTGTGAATGATTCATTGAATTTACTTTCTCAATTTTAAATTTAATGGCTGTGAAAAAGGAAGGTTGGAAAGGCTCTGGCCCACAAAGGGCTGTTATGCCAATAGAAGAAGGTTGTAACTATTTTTACAAAGTTCAAACAACTTTAAAATTCGATATCTAAGTTCAACATAACATATTTTAATGAATACAACGAAACAAGCCGTGATGGCTCAGGGGATAGAGCGTTCGCCTTTCAATGAGGCGAACCGAGTTCGAATCTCAGCGACAGCTGATCGATTGGAATTCCGCATCCGACTTGCACCGACCAAAGTGCTGACGTAAAATTTACTCTGTGGTAGACGGATTATGGATCAGAGTTCCCTTGTCGTTAGGCTAGCCGTGGGGGTTTTCCTCTCCATGTGCGGGCTAGTTCCATGAAAAAGTCCTCCACGAAGGCAAATTTCTCCCAATATTTGATCCAGGAATTCTCTCGTCTTCTGGATTGGGTTCAAAACTGCAAGGCTACAGAGTTGAGCAATGGTAGTCATAAGCCCAAAATTGTGTCGGCTATTCAACGACGGTTATAATATAAAATAAAATACAACGAAACAAAAAAATATTAGTTAGGAATTAAGGAACTCCCGGACAGTTAATATGAATGCAAAAAAGCATCCTAAATATCTGTAGGATACTTTCAAAGCAAAAATTTAGTTTATTTAATATATATATTTTTTTTTTTTTAGAACACAAGATGAGAACTGGATTATCTGAAAGGGTATTTGTTTATATTTACTTATATAAAATACTTAATTTTTTTGTAAGCATATTTTGTAAACAACTATTAATAATTACTATATAAGATATTTAAGTCTTATTTTCTCAATGTTAATGTTCGTGAGCTTTTATAGTTATCGAAAATATCAACTGAAAAATACATCTCATTAAGGGATAATAATTGTTTGGCTTCTCTAAAACTATTCTACTGATTTATTTTTCGATATTTATTGAGAACTATTCCACTGAAACCAGACAGATTTAAATAAAAGTTAATAACAGAAAAATTTTCAATATTTCTCTTACAAATTTCTCAATGGATTCAATAAAACTCTTAGAAAAATCCGTTTTTTGTCGATGAAACAATCAATAATGTTTCGGTCGCCTATTATACAACACTATTGCTATTATTTGGTTCTAAGATAATTTTAAGCTGATTATGTACGTAACTGAGTTATTTTCTTTCATCTCAATTTCAATTCGATTTCCAAAAGGCAATTGGAAAAACTATTTCAGATTTGAAAAATACGTCTCATTTAGATTTAATAATGTAGTTTTGATCAATTGAAAAACTTATTGTAAAAAGTTAACTAACAATGCGGTAAATTTTCTTTTAGTATATATATATATATATATATGCATAGATATATACGTTTCTAAAATTATCCGAAACGAATCGCATATTCAAATTTATCAACGTATTGCATATTTACTGATCATTTTGAAATAGATAGTTTTCAAAATGAGCGTTTATTTATTTATTTTATCTCTTCGAATTTTCCAACTTTTGTATAATGACTTGAAATAGAAAGAACAAGAATCAATTTCATAATCGTATCGAAAACTAGCTGTTATACCTTTATTAAATAATAAAAAATTTTCTTACATATAAAACTAAAATAAATTAATTAAATTTAATTAATGAATTATTATTTGAAAAAACTGTGTTAACATCAAGTGTCAACCACCAAATGTTAAAAAAAATGTATTTGAACTTAATTGGAGGAATAAAAAGTATTTCATTAACGATCCAAAATTTGAACAAGATATAGGAAGAGTATGAACTAATAGTAGGAATTAAATAAAAATAATTTAATTATAAAATGCCCTAACTTTATACCCTTATCAACTCTCATTTAATTTGTAAAAAGAAAGCGTAGAACATTCAAATCTACAGTAGGCCAACAATTCTTTAACAATGCATCAAAACGACTATCTACGAGGTCGAAATTTGGCAGCAAATTAATGACTTTTCTCCAAAATAATCCTTCTCCACCACTTTCTTTTTATCATTCTTTTTTCTTCCTTCGCTTTTTTCACCTAGTTTATAGCTTTATCAGTTAACAGCCTCGACATTAACGAAATGAAATGTCAAGCTTTACTGAGCATCGCGTTGCTAAGCAACCATTACATACCTATGCTTAACGCCTTTTATACTATTTTAACAAATCTTTCCTAAAGCTCTGATGTTATTGGTAGAAATAACAAGTATGAATAATATGCTGCTTTATATTTGGTAAGGATTTTCTCAAAATCATGTGAAAATTTTCATAAATTTTAATAACTGACTGTCATATGTGAATTTCTCCTTTTCGCTCATTAAATTTTCATGAATAATATTTTTTGAACAACGTTATTTTCCTTGCCCCTGCTTCGCACAAAAGCCCCCTTTATTGGTTCGTAATCAATTTCATTTCTTTAAACAGAATTATTCATTATTATTATTAGATAATTACATTATTATATTATCAACAGAATTAATCGTAATTTACAAGTAATAATTTATCGTCTTAAATACAGAATTATTGCCGCATATTCAGTTTCAGATTAAATGTAAAATCAATAAAAATTTAGAACATTTAGTTTACAGTATCGGGTTTAGGTAATTGTTTAATGTTTAGAACATAATTTTAAATTTTTCGGAGTAAAAAGTTACAAACTCTTGCTTAAATTTACAGTTTTTTTTAAAAAAAAATCTATTTTATGATATAGTTGGAACGCTAAAAAAGTTTTTTTTGACTAATAAACAGTAGAAAAACTTTACGATGGCGCTACGAGTGGATTGCTAATAGAAAAATTCTATTTTGATTAATTGAACATTTTGTTTCTTAACTATTTTATTGGTTTTATCGAAATTTCACAAAATTTTTTTACTGATTTTTTAACAAAAGTAATCACCGGGCACTTATATATGAATGAAATAAAACAAAGAGACTCAAACAACAATTTTATGGGAAATCTTTGAGATTTTATTTTACGATGCAGAAGTAACAAAACAACTTTGAAAATTCTTTAAACAGCATTATTTACTTTAAACAAATTAATTCAAATAAACAATTAGTACAATTAACAATAACTATTAATAACAGAAATAAAATTAAAAGGTTCACGGAAAATTTATTTTGTGTTTTGAAACTTAAATTATAATTTTTCATCTTGGTTAAAACACAAAGTATTTGTAAAAGCCCAATCATTAGATCAAAAGTTATACATTTACGTGTTTAAAATATAATGTATTTTTAAAATCAGGCAAGAAATAAGCTAAACATTATATCCGGTCGTTAAATGCCGCTAGATTGGAAAATTGCCCTCAGGTGACCTAACAGTCAAACCCATTGAATAAAATATCTAAAAATACATATTGGAAATATTTTCAAATATTAAAGTTGTCCCGTACAATCTCACATTTCACCCCCTGATGCCACGGTGATGTCTGGGAGTCGGATGAACCCTAGTTCGAAGTGGTGGTCAATTTTCTGACGAGTATATATATATATTTCTCAATAAGACGTGATATTTTTAGATATTTTAAACAATTTTTATGCCAATTCCATTTCACAATCATGAACAGCGCCATCTATAAACAAAAGTGCAACAACCAATCTGCCAGATAAAAGCTTTTGTTTTCTAGAAAATCCAAATCTGCAATAAAAAAGGAGGCTTCCATTTAAGATTTTGAAGTTTCCCCTGTCCCCGAGTAGGTGAAATTGCGGACAGAGAGGGGTATATTGAATGTATCATTTGCGTTACATGGTGAAAACGACCACGTGAACCTCCCACGGTTAGCCTGACGGCAAAGGGAGTCTAACCCATGATCCGTTTACCACTGAGGATATTTCACGTAAGCACTGTGGTCGGTGCGAGCCGGATGTGGATTCGTATTGACCAGCCCGAATCGAACCCGGTTCACCTCATTGGAAGGTGAACGGTCTATCCCCTGAGCCATCGCGGCTCAATATATGCCCATGTGAAAGAATCGGTGACAAATTATAGCAACGAAATGTGTAATTTTGTATACATATTTCATTTTTACTAAATGCCGACCGGATTGCGTAGGGATCAGGGAACGGGCCTTACATCAGAAAGGTTCTCGGTTCTAATACCGAGCAAGGTATGGATGATCTTTTATTCTCTGTACTATCTATCCTTACTGTAGGAGCAACCTTGGTCCACCTAATATGGTGCCCCTGAAAGAGTGGCCAACAAACCTGCCCTGTAAATGCCTGAATTGACCAAATGTTAACACAGATGGGCATCGGAAGTAAAAAGAATATAAAAATACTTTAAATTATTATTATGTGAATACATTAAAAATGCCTGTTAGTGAAAAAAAAAAAGAATTCTAAAAAAATTATCAAACAGTAGCTGTCGCCGAAGCAAAGGCATGCGCACTGTTTATTATTACTCTTGAATACAGTTGAATAGTGTGATGACGTCCAAATAAGGTGAGCACGCCATCAAACCCAAAATAACACCCATTTTGCCAATCGGTAAAAAAATGTTTTTATTAATTTGGATTTTAAACACATATTTTCAGTGGAACGTATATATTTTATTTTTCTAAATTTGTAGGAGCTTTTTGAATGATAAACCATGAGGAAGATATCTTTATTANACAGTTGAAAAGTGTGATGGCGTCCAAATAAGGTGAGCACGCCATCAAACCCAAAATAACACCCATTTTCCCAATGGGTAAAAAATGTTTTTATTAAATTTTTATTTATTTGGATTTTAAACACATATTTTCAATGGAACATACATATTTTATTTTTCTAAATTTGTAGGAGCTTTTTGAATGATAAACCATGAGGAAGATATCTTTATTAATAATATCTGGTTCTGCTACTTTTTTCTTTCTCTGTGATTGGTACTGGATGTCAAAATATTATTTAAAAAGTGTCAATTATGGTAAGTAACATCCTCTTTAAAAACTATTTTAACTTTAGTCACATTTTTCATAATTGCAGACCATCAAAACTGTTTTAAAATTATCATTTATATTAACAATGATTAAAATAAATAATGCTTTAAAGAAAATAAATTTTTCATTCAAGAATTTTGTTAATACACGGATGTAAGAAATTAAGAGAATTTTCAGACTTGGTCGATTATCTCTAGAACTAATGGTCCGATTTTAATGAAATTTGATATGTACATACATACGCATGATCGTTGGAGTCGGAAGGTATGAAACAGCAGTTGCAAAATAAAAAAACAAACAAATAAAAAATGGGTTAATAGGGGGTATGGTCCCCTCTTACAGTTAAACAGGACTTACAGCGTGATTTCATACTTGAAATAAGGGATATCATTTTCTGTGACAATTGTCCCGAGGCAATTTCATACCTTCCGACTCCAACGAGTGTAACGCACGATCATGCGTGTGTATGACAATTGTTGAATGGTTATTTCTTTTGTATTATATTAAAGTACGTACGTACCAAATTTCATTAAAATCGGTCCAGTAGTTCTCGAGATAATCGACCAAGTCTGAAAATTTTCTTAATTTCTTACACTAGTGTATACAATATTTTTTGTATACTAAAGGTAAAGGATATGTTTTGTACCTGTTACTGCTTATTCAGTTGACTTCCTTAATAACTAATTAAAAATAATTGATATCTTTTATTTTGATTTAATTTTATATTTATTTAAATAATGGTTAGCTTATACATTTATCTTATTAGACAACCAAAAAAAAGAAGAAAATTCTGTAGTAATTTTGAAAATACCATTCAAAACGAGAATTTTGATTATATCAATTTTGCTCCTTAGCAATGTTTTGCTTTTTTCGAATTTTATCTGATTTTATTAAATATTTACTAGTTTAATTAAATATTTACCTTTCAGGAAAAAATATATTTAATTCCAGCTTTACACATGGCTAGATTTTTTTTTGAAAAATTAAAAGATGAAAACACATTTTAATATAAATGTTATTGTATATATTTTTTAAGGTGATCAATAATACTGTAAGTTTTATTTTATTTTATTTTTAAAAAAGGGTAAAAACCGCAAATTTTAAATTCTTGAAAAAAATTATTTAAATTCAAAAATTACAATATTGGAAAATAAATCTGGTGCAATGCTGGTAGAGTAGTGTAAAAGAAACTCCTTCTAATTCAACAAACCTTTAGGGATATTTATCGCATTGGTGTTGAGAATTAATTAAAAAAACTATTAGAACTTAAAAACCAGGGGTCTGTTTAGAAGAAATTTGGGTCCATTAACGGACCTTTCACAAAATATCTTTTCATAAAAACGGACCCATCACAAAATAATTAATCTTTTAATTGGCCCCTTCACAAATTTGTTTAGTTTCATTATTGTTTTGTTAATCGAATAAACCCTTCCGGGGGCAGAAAACTANCCGGGGGGGGGGGGTGAAAGAAAGACGGTTCTAGACAAACTAAGATTCCCTAATTTTGAATTCCAAATGTTGTACTCTAAGAAAATATTTCTACTTTTGCAAACATCATGTGCGCATTATTATTAATATTAAATTATAATTTTTTTTTAAAATAAATAATTGATCAATTTATATTTATTCATAAAATTAATTAATAGATTATTACATAAACAAAAAATTATTTATATCAATTTTTTAAATAAAATATTAAAAATTTAAGAATTATTTAAGTTTACTTAATGCGTAACACATTAAAAGTGATACATTACTAAGTTGTGTTATTTAAAATATGTCAATTGAAATTATTAAAAATTTGAGTGATTTTGTTTCTATTATTCGTCCGAAATGAATATTCTGTGTTGAGCAGTATAGGCTAAATACCAAATATTTGTACGTCGCATTTCTAATTTAGTAGCAGCAATTGTTGAGCAGAATCTTGTATCTATTTACAATTTAAAAACTTCTTGAAAATGTTTTAGCAATTTTTGCAATAGTAAGACCCAATTTGCACAAAGTCACAATAGCAGGACCCTGGTTGAAAAATGTGATTTATCGCTTACTTTATATTCACAAATTATGAAAAGTTTAATTTTACAAAAACAAGACCTTTTACAAAATGTCTGGACAGACCCCTGAAAACAAACATAAAAAATAATTTAATAAATGGCAGCTATACTCCTTTGTATAAAAAAACAATTAAGAAGTTTTGAGATAGAACATCCACTAGAAACAATTGCGTGGACAGGGTGCGTAGCCAGATTTTCAACAAAGAGTAAGCACCTTTTAAGCACTCAAAAATATTTTTAATAACTTTCTAAAAAAAAAAAAAATTCATAATTAAGATCTGTGCAGCAATAAAAATAATTTTTTTTCGATCGCTTGAAGTTCTTAATTTATAAACATAAAATAAATTCTTAATTTATAAACATAAAATTACAAAAATCATGCATTTTTTGTAATTTAGATGAACAATCAACATGGCAAAGGAAAAATCTCTTTTTAAAAGATGGAAAATTAGGCACTTTTTACAAACCCCGAATAAAAATAGCACCTTTAAGGGCTTTTAAAATACGTAATCAAAAATAAGCATCTTTAAGCACTTTTTAAAAACACTACGCTCCCTGATGGAAATACCAGATTATATATATATATTTAAAAAAAGTTTTTTTTAAAGGTTAGAAACATCAGGATTTCCCTGCATTAATTAATACTATGAAAAAAGACGGTATTTCACAACCATAGTTGGTTTCTTAATATTTTTGTCATGTTTATCATTATAAGCAAATTTATATAAAAGTCAAGCACATCTTTTTGTAATTTTAGGAAATATCAGATGAAAAATATCAGGATTAAATTATTGTTTTATTTTGTAGGCAATGATACATCAAAACTTGCCAATTGTTTATCGGCCATGAATCAAGGATGGCTGTTATGCAGAAAATGTGCTAATATTGAGCAAGAGTTACAAGTAACTCGAAAGTTATTTATTTCTTGATAAAATAAAACAAACCACATTTAGATAGCTTTTGATTTTAAATANTAATAAAAATAATATTTTTTTCTATCGCTTAAAGTTCTCAATTTATAAACATAAAATAAATAAAATTCAAAAATTTAATCATGATAAAATAACTAGTTTCTGATAAATTTTGCAAAGAAAATTACAAAAATCATGCAATTTTTGTAATTTAGATGAACAATCGACATGGCAAAGGAAAAATCTCTGTTTAAAAGATAGAAAATTAAGCACTTTTTACAAACTCCGAATAAAAATAGCACCTTTAAGGGCTTTTAAAATACATAAATCAAAAATAAGCATCTTTAAGCACTTTTTAAAAACGCTACGCTTCCTGATGGAAATACCAGATTATATATACATATACTGAAAAATGTATTTCTTATTTTTTTAAAAGTATGATTATGCATGTTAAAAACTAATAATTTAACAAGTNAAAATCAAAAATAAGCATCTTTAAGCACTTTTTAAAAACGCTAAGCTTTCTGATGGAAATACCACATTATATATACATATTTAAAAAAAGTTTTTTTTTTAAAGCATAGAAACATCAGGATTTTCCTGCATTAATTAATACTATGTTTAAAGACGGTATTTTACAACCATAGTTGGTTTCTTAATATTTTTGTCATGTTTATCATTATAAGCAAATTTATATAAAAGTTAAGCACATATTTTTGTAATTTTAGGAAATATCAGATGAAAAATATCAGGATTAAATTATTGTTTTATTTTGTAGGCAATGATACATCAAAACTTGCCAATTGTTTATCGGCCATGAATCAAGGATAGCTGTTATGCAGAAAATGTGCTAATATTGAGCAAGAGTTACAAGTAACTCGAAAGTTATTTATTTCTTGATAAAATAAAACAAACCACATTTAGATAGCTTTTGATTTTAAATATTGTTCTCAAAGATTATTCATTTTAAAGAGAAAAAAAAGAACAAATAAAAACTCTTTTCATCATGTTCATACATATAAATATGAACAGATTTTTAACCGGGTTTTTTTTATTATGACCTGACTAATTAGAGTTTGATACTGAATCGGAGATTCAACGAATTGATTCGATGACTCGAATCACAAATTTGCATCTGATTAGAATCAGTTGATTTTTATCGGAATAGATTTAAATTATGATAAATTATTGTTTCTTAAATTTTCAGTTACGTTTTACACGCACTGATGCTATATCACATAGGGTTGAAATTTTTTTTTGTAAAGTTCAAGAGATTCTTACACATTCATTATTAAAAAAATTAAGACTTTCCATTCGCGATAGCAACGCTCGAATACGCCATCTTGGGAAGAGACCGGTTCTATGTCTTGACCCTCCCCTTTCCCTCTCCTCGATTGCATAGGAATGTACAACAATATTTGCCCCTTTCTTAAAATTTTTCGTATTTAATTGTCATAAATATTTTGTAAAAATTCTATGACGTATTCTTTTAGAAGTATGCTCAATACAGTTTTCAGTTCTCTAGTGGCAATCGAAACGGGCTACAGGTGGCGCAAAGCCGAACTCTCTACCTATGGCTTCACTTCGCATGCTTTCACCGTTAGCGTGTGGAAAGACATAAAAATCGGAAGTACGTTAGTTTCTGTCTTGATTTTCACATAGATTAAAATCTTTCAAGTTAGGAAACTATATGGAACTGAAAACTACATTAAACATAGCTCTAAAAGAAAGCGTCAAGGAAATTAAAATTTTTTTTTTTAAACATTTAAATGCGAAAAATATTAAGAAAGGGGAAAATATTGGGAAAATATATATTCAAGTATTGCGATCGCCAAGTTCCCTAACTTAAAAGTTTTTAATCTATTTGAAAATCAAGACAGAAACTAACGTACTTTCTTCTCCCATGACTCTCCACAGGCTAATGGTGAAAGAATGCGAAGTGTTGCCATGGGTAGAGAGTTCAGCTCTACACCCCCTGTAACCCATTCCGATTACCAATTCATATAATTAGACAAACTCACATAATAATAATGTAGCACCCTTTGCAGTTTCGTAAAAGTTACAAGTATTTATGACTTTTAACAATACATATAATTATACAGAAAATAGTAAGTATATTTAATTACTTGAAAGAATTCTAACGCTTTAATAACTTTTCTTTCTATTGACATCATAAAAGGAGTACTTGGTAAATGAACTGCAGTTAGAATCTAAGCTAAATAGTGTTTTGAATCATGCGATTCAAATCATGTGAATCGATATTGATTCCTTAAGTCATACCTAAACGCTCCTAATGTATACTTTAAGTCATGTATACTTAACGTTAAGTATTGTTATTCCAGTAAACAAATTACTGGATTCGAATTGAGATCTGAATGACTTGATTTTAACAAATGATTTGAATCACTTAATTTGAATCCCTGATTCGAATAGTGATACGGATTAGAACATTGGTAGTCACAAACCAAAAAATTGGGTCAGCTGTTAAACGATGATTGTAAAATAAAATACTTTTTATTAGTTATTTTAGAAACCATAAAACAACAACAGTAAGTGCAATTGAGAGCTCCTTTGTAAACAGGTCAGTGGCAGAGTCAGGGTAACATTTGTCAGTTTACTCGCAAGAGACTGTAAAGTATGTTGCTGCAACAAGAATGCATTATGATTTAAAGTCATGAAAGCCAATTAAAAGGAGAAATAATTATTCAGATAAAAATCAAATCAATGCTTAGATATTTAATACAGCAAAAATTCTTAAGATGTATTTGCTAAAATTATACTTTAATAAACACATAATGATTAGCATGTTCAGTGCCCTACCAATTTTTAGGGAAATTCCTGTCAGGTCACGTGCGCTGCTTTGAAGCACTCAGCATAGTAGTGTAAAACATACTACTAATAGAAAGAAATAAATAAAACTTTCCTTTGTAGTAAATAAAAATTGAATAAATTTTCAGTAATTACTCTTAACAGGGTGTATAACCAAATCTTTCAACAAAAAATAAGCATCTTTTAGGCACTATATACATTAAACAAAATGCAAACTAATTTTCAAAGACTTGAGATGATCATGATAAAACAACTCGTTTCTGACAAAGAACTCTTTTCTTGATTATATTAGCCACCATAAAAAGATCGAGATATTTTTGTTTCGATTTCAGAGGGTAGAAAATGAAGCCTGAAATTGAGAAAATCTTGCAAAGAGCAACAGAGTTGCACATGAGACGGCTAGAATCTCACCGTACTCAGCTCAGTAGATGTGGAATCGCAAGTATTTCATCAAACACGCAAAACGATTAGCGTTTTCATACGCTATGGACTGGCGGTACAACGAAAGGGATTGTGGTTGAATGAAGTGTGAAAACGTTGAATAGAACAACGCGAAAAGCACGCTTTCGCATAATACGTGGCGAAAAATCAACACGATAAAGAAAAAAATCTTATTTTCGAAAAGGGAAAATTAAGCGCTTTTTAAAAACACGTAATGGAAAAAGCACCTTTAAGGGCTTTTAAAAAACGAAAATAAGCACCTTTAAGAACTTTTTAAAAATGCTACGCACCATGTTTTAAAAGTTAATTATTTAGTTTTATGTATCATATTTTACTCAGTCAAACCCAGTCTAAATAGAAATGTAACGTCTAAATAGAATGTAGTTTGCAAAACAACTTAAAAAAATTTTTTCTTCTTCCAGCGTGTGCCAAATGTAAAAGATGAAACAGTTTCCGAACCAGCTGATGTTTACACCAGGAAAAGTAAATATATCACAATAGGCATACCTTCTGTGGCGCGGAAAAAAGAAAACTACCTCCACAAAACATTGAAATCTCTGCTAGAGAACATGGACAAAGATGAAAGAAAAGATGTCACAATAGTTGTTCTTTATGCTGACAGTGACACCAAAATCCGACACAAAAGACTGAAAGAAACAATGCTTCTATTCAATGAATATGTCCGATCAGGTTTGCTGCTTCTTATACAAACCTATCCCGAGATATATCCGCCGATGAAGATAACTCGCCGGACTTACAACGATACGATAGAAAGAATCGCTTGGCGATCCAAGCAAGTGTTAGATTTTGCTTACTTGCTGAAATATTCCAAATCGTTTTCTGAATATTTTCTAATTTTAGAAGACGACATAGAGTCGTCGCCTCATTTCGTAAGCGCCATCCAACGATTCATTCGAACGAGGGAAAATTCGGAATGGGTGTCTCTGACGTTTTCGAGTTTCTACATCATAGGTAGATTGTTCAAGTCGGAGGATTTGAGGAAACTGTCAGAATTCCTGGTGCTCTTTCACCTAGAAAAACCAGTAGATCTTCTGATCCTCCAATTCCTTGATATCATGGTACCCGAGAAAAAGATCGTCACCAGGAGAATACCAGGGCTATTCCAGCACATGGGACTTTACTCTTCACTCGATGGCAAAATCCAAAAAGCAAAAGACAGAAGCTTTTCGAACAACATACGAGTGTACCACTTTCCCAATCCACCGGCAGATGTCGTCACTACAATAGGCGTGTACAAAAAGCACTACCCGGAGTATTGTTATGACGAATCCGATAAATTTTTCTGGGGTAGCGCACCGAAGAGGAATGACACTTTTGATGTGATTTTAAGGAAACCCGCAAAGGTACGTAGAATTTTCGTCAGTTCCGGCCTTCCGTCACACAAGGAGGATATTATAAGGTACGCCGAATTAAAAGTGGCAACAGTTTTCAAGAAAATGCTGACAGACAGAAAGGCTGTTTGTTCAGAGTTTAACACAGTGGCTCTTTTTGAAATGGGAAAAGCTGATGCAACGGTCAACACGACATTGCCTAAAGAGAACATTCAGTGTATACGGATAGAATTCATCAAGAAGCAATCAAACTGGTTATTGATTAATGAGATATCGGTTGATATAGAACCTACGGAAAATTATTAATTCTTTTTCTGGTGCATTGAATTTTGTTGTTGAAATGGCTTTTAATCTGAAAACTATGAATAAAATTTATTACCATGGTGAAAAAAGCCTTTTCGCTTCTTTTTCTGCAGCTGCACCAAAAAGTAATAAGAGTAACTTATCTATATCGTTTTCAGGTGCTTAAGTTTAATTTTCAGGAGCAAATTTAAAATTGTGTTAAAGGTATTTCAGAAAATTGTAAACATATTTTGACATAAATACTTTTTTTTGTAATCAAAATAATGTTTAGTTTTTCTATTATGCAATCACAATTTTAAGAATCAGCAAAAAACATTTAAATTGTGTCACGAAAATAATATGATTTTAAGCAGATATATAGACTCAAATCTATCTATCTTGGATAGCACTAGAAAGAAAAAATTAGAAAAAGAGGATGAAAGTTATAGAGGCTTTAAATGTGGTCAGTTAAAAAAGTATAGAGAAAAATAAATGAATATATATAATTAAAATACAGAGAAAACATGAAAAACAATAAAAATTAATGAGAAGAAGGGAAATTATTAATATAAAAATATTTCTAAAAATATTAAAAAAATTATTTATGTATTTAAAAAAAAACACACAATTACATCAGCTAAAAAGAGTGCTTTCTCATGCTGTATCAATATAGCCAAAGCAAAATATATCAATACAATAGTGTGAGGAGCATGTAAACATTTTTTTGATATAATTTGCTTTGGTTATATTGATACAATATTAGAAAGCACTTCTAATTGCGGATATAATCGTGCCAGCTGATGAAGAGATTATATCTTTTTATTCATTTTGTTTTTCAGCTTTTTAAAAAGCTTTTTTTTAAATAAATAAATAAAATTTTTGTTTAAATATTTTATTTCAATAAGTTTATTCTTCTCTTTTCATTAATTTTTATTATTTTCCATGTTTTGTCAATATTTTAACTTATTTTATGAGTTCTATCTATCTATCTATATATATATATACAATCTATCTATATTCTTTATACAGGGTTCCCACTCTTTCAACAATGCAAACATTAAGCACTTTTAAGTACTTTTTTGAAAAATTAACCAGAGACAGTGCAAATTGTTTACTTTCCTAAAAAAATCAATCAATAAAAAAAATAATAACTAACAATTTTATTATAATGTAAGCACTGATATAAGTGTATTAATTAACAGGGTTTGCCAAAGAAGTACCACACAGTTTTTGCAAACCCGGGTCGGTTTTTTTTAAAAAAAAATACATTTTCAGATTGTTAAAAGTTAACATCATTCATATTGTGAAAGTTAACGTATGAAACTAATCTGTATTCCATTTTTAATGATTTCATTGAAATTGATTTGTAAAATTAAGAGCAGAAATTAGGATTTGCAATTTTTTACATGCATATTAAAAAAAAAGAAGAGTAAATATAGAAATTTGGTAAAAACATTGAAAAAATTATTTTTAACAAGTTTACACTACTAGACCAGCAAATGTGTTATATTTACTTTTATGATGAAAGGCACAAAATTATTTCCAGCCAAACCTGTTATTAGGAATTGACTTTACATAATGTAACTAAACATTCTGGTAAAAACATGAACTAATTTTAAAGCAACCAAAAATTGAACAAAAATTAAAAACAGTACATTAAGTTGTAATGTTAACTGAATAAAATGATGAATAAAATCTAAAGATCTTTTAGTTGAGTAGATTTAAATTTTTCTGTAACAATCTGCTTATCCTTAAGAAATAAAAATTATAGAGTAACAATCAAAAACTTTAAAAAAAATTTACATTGTAACATAACAAATTATAAATAGTTACCAAATATTTAACTTTCTTGTTAGAAGTCAATCATGCTTTCTTATTTAGTAATCAGGAAAAAAATTTAAAGTATTTTTGGAAAAAACAAAACAAAAAAACATGAGGTTTACATCAAAAATCCAATAACTCCAGGTTTTTGATAGAAAACCAAGATGGGCTGGGATTTTTCAAACCCTGTTTCTTACAAATCTGTTTAATTTTCAGTGCAATCATGAATTTTAAAAAATTTTATGCTTTCCATAAATTTACAGTTACTTATTACATATTGAAATATTATACAAATTTATGTAATTCTACAAGATTTTAGGAAATAGATTTTGTTATGGATTCCAGTACAACATTTTTTTCTGATACTTCTTTTCTTAGCATTTTACTTAATTCCTATAAGCAGATGCGTTACTAGTAGAACTAAATTTCTTGAATTCTGTCAATTTTGAAGGTTAGCGTGGGTCTTCCCTTTAGGTACCTTAAAATCGTCCCCCCCCCAAAAGCACTATTTCTTCCATGTGCAGTATCCTCCTTGACATACTATTTTTTTTCTTTTAGAATGCTTCACTCTCCTCATAGAGTATCATTCTAGGTAATAGGCAGAATATATTAATGAAGGACAGGCTTTCTTCCCCTTACTAGCACCTCCCACACATTAATTTTTGTCTCTCTAAAATGCTTTACCTTTGATGCATGGTCTAATTCTAAGTGATAAGAGAGCGACACTTTGTTTAAAAAAATTGAAATGAAAAATTGTTCCCATCAACAATAGTGATGCTAAAAAATTAAGGACTTTTAAAAACCTTGAACCAAAATTAAGTACTTTTAAGGGCCCTTTATTTTCCAAAATAAAAATTAAGCAGTTTTTAAGGACTTTTAAGGACCGTGGGAACCCTGTTATATAGTTGCAGTTTATGCACAGTTAATAAAACTTAATTATTTTCTTCATTTTTTTTATTGTGCTATATATATATAAATTTTACAAATGTTTTTTTTTAAATCAGAAACTTTATAGATATATGATAGAAACATTCAGGTAAAGTTCTTTTTATAACTGAACATTTTATTTTCTCAGACAACTCTCAATTAGAAGTCATTTAAATAAAAGCTTAGCAAAACTGAATGAGAACTGATAGCAAAGATTAAAAAAAATCTAACTACAACCTTCAAATTTAATAATTAACTAAAAATATTTACAAAGATATGTACAAGACGATGACAGCAAATGCAGAATTGGTGGTGAATCTTCAATTGTCGTCCCCTACATCTGAGATTTCAGAAGAATCAATCCAAAGATACGCATCTGCTTCAGCCGCAGTCAGCATAATAGGTTTTGAGGGATGAAACGATATTGAATGAACCACTTTATGCCTTTCATGTTTGAGAGTTTCTTTAATGGAACCCTAAAAAAATGACATAAATATTTGATGCAAATGAACAAGATTTTGCTAGAATGAAATTATGATAAAAATACTTTCTCAATCTATCAGAGGGTAATGAATTAACAATTGAAGGGTTAAAATTATTAATATTTATATAGTTTTATAGCTTATTTAAATAGTTTTAGTAAAATTATGCTTTTCAGTATACTTCATATCCTTTACAAATACAGTATAGGCTTTTTAGTATGTTCCCTACTATAGTGTACTGCTCATTATAACAAATGATGCCTAAAGTTCGTCTCCAATTTCATAGATACTGTTTTATTTTCATGTCCCTCAGTAGGTACACACTTAACTGTTAAATTCCAATATTAATTATTGAAATTGTTTGAAATTATGATAAAAAATACTTTATAGGTCACAATCTATCAGATTGGATTATAAATCAACAATTGGAGGATCATATTAACGTGGTCAGAAGAACAAGCATACAACACACAGAACTTATGTAAAATTATGTTTTTCAGTATACTTCATACCCTATACAAACACAGTATACGCTTTTTAGTATGTTTCATATTATAGTGTACCTCTCATTATAATAATGATGCCTAAAGTTCCATCTCCTATTCCATAGATCAAATTTCTTTTTCACGTTCCTTAGAAGGTACACACTTAACTGTTAAATTCCAATATTAATTATTGGAATTCTTTGAAATTATGATTAAAAAATCAATGTAGCTCACAGTTTACCAGAGGGTAATGAATTAACAATTGGAGGGTCATAGTAAAGTGGTTACAAGAACAAGCATACAACACAAAGAGCTTATTTAAATAGTTTTCAATAAATTAAGTTTTTCAGTATACTTCACACCCTATTCAAATAGTTTACGCTTTTTAGTATGTTGTCTAATATCAAACAGTATGCCTCTCATTATAATGAATTATGTTTAAAGTTCTGCCTCTTATTCCATAGGTCCCATTTTATTTTTAAGTCCCTTAGAAGGTACACATTTAAATGTTTAATTCCAATATAGAGACTAAAATTCAATCATTTGATCTAGAAAAAGTTCAATTATGCGATAAATCTTCTTAATTCTTACCTACCAACATTGGAGAAATAAAATAAGGGAGATTTCACTAGTGAAATTTTTTTAGGCTGCAAGTGAAGTTTTGATACATCATGCATAATTATGTAAGTCAAAATTGGAAATAATATACAATAATTACATATAGCAAAGTAAAAAATATTTTTATATATCTCAATCTAAAGAAGAGTTTTTAAACCATTATTTATAACTACTTAAACTATAAACTTAACATTATTTACTTAGACTATAAACTTTATATTATTTACTTAAATAAAAACTATATTAAATTTAGCAAAGTAAAAAATACGTATACAAATCTTAATCAAAAGAAGATTTCTTAAGCCATTATTTATAATTACTATAACACTCACTATATTTATATTACTTTACTTAAACTATAAACACCAACATGCTGCGGTACTTGCATTAGCACCATCTTTTGATGAATTAGAGAAGTATTGTTGCTATCAGCGGATATTTTATCACCAAATATTTTTTTCAAAAATTTCTTCAACAAATATGGAGAAATTTGAGAATTTACAGGTAAACGGGAGATAGTCTTACAGGAGTCTTCGTTAAAAAACAGGAGACTTGGCAGGCATGTATTGTTTAGGAGCTTCCTGGAGGCAGCTGTTGGTTGTAAGATTTTCAATGTTCTCAGGCAAGGGGGTTTTTAGGATCTGGTGTAAGCTTTCCTATACCAGGGGGATGAGTAACAACAACAGAAGAAGTTATCAATAAATTATTTAAACCATTATTTTCTTTGATTTTAACACATAATAAATGTAAAACTCCTTGAATCCCCTTTGAATGAATGACAAGTGACAGGACCCCTTAAATTCTCAAGTCTTGGATAGTTGTAATTTATGACCACTCCTAATCTATGTAACTCTCATTATACAATAAATGTATCAATCACTCTGCAATAATAAAGAAAGAGTTGGGCTATCACCATCTTTTTGTTAGTTATCAAATTCTTTTTGGCACAAACCATGAGGCTCATTATACCAAATGTCTACTGTAATTCATAAATTTGTAATGCAGAGCAAGGAAGTTCTTTTAAAAAAAAATTACATTCACTTTTCTTTTCTTTTCCTTTTTTTTTTTTAAAAAAAAAACTACTTTTATTTATTTAAATCTTTATGCAAAAAATTAAAAACTGCAGAGTTTCAATTATAATAATTTATTTTTAAAAAGGATTTATGTTATTTCCCTTCTAAATAAATAAATAAATAAATAAATACAAGTGCATTCAGATATACTATGTAGAAATACATATATATATATATATTTGGTTTACAGCATATCTGTTAACAAGTTTTTTGAAATAAGTTTTGTTAATAGTTTCTTTGAAAACATTACTTAAGATTTTTTTTAAACCAGTCAAATTTTCATTGCAATTTGTTTTCTAGCATTAATGTACATTTTAGTGATTTTTAACATTAATTTTTCTTTTGGAAATTAATATTAACTATTAAACTAGTACAATATTTCACTTATATATAGTTTAAATGATAGTTTTAAAATTTATGGTGTTTTTCTTCTTCTTTTTCTTGGATTGATATATGCCTACTTCTTCTGTGTTAGCTTTTAAATTATCTTTTCAACCGTGACAGAAAATTTTACATGTTTGAAAGTTAACAAAACCCTTAACTAGAACAGGAGAAATTTGTTTAAATTAAAATTTTAACTTATTCTGTATATTTTAAATAGGATAAATTATATATTTTTAAATTTATTATACACTGCCCTGCAATAATGGAAGAGACACTTTCAGTTTTTGACATTCTTTTAAAAAAATTTCAAGAAATATATAAAGGATTATTTTGAAACTTTAGAAGTGTTTAGTTCATTATCATTTTTCATACTTCGCATTAAGATTTAAAGTTTTCAGTGGTTTAGGAGATCTACAATAAAATACGAAAGAAAACAAGTATTTTTGAACACCCTATGTCAGAAAATCAAGTAATGAGCTTGTAAACTTAGAGTAAATATTAACAGAAGTATGGACATTTTTATAAAAAATTTAATTTAATGTAAAATAAATAGAGAGTTAAAGTAGCAAAAAAAAAAAAATTTAGTGACGACTAAAAAATTAATGATTCCCACTTATTTAAAAAATATTTGTTCAGCAGTATAATATTATAATTTTCAAATATATCTGTTTCATGATTTAAAAAAAATTTGAAGCATAATCTCACAAATATGCACTGTGTTAATACTGAGGGGCTCAAAGAAGACTGTGAACTTTTAAGAAGAAAAAAAAAAAAATCAAAAGAGATAAATGTACATTTTGCATGAAAAAACAGTTTTTTTAACAAGTGACAGGATTTTTTTTTCCAAATGATATTGCGATTGAGAAAAATTATAAGACAATGTTCTTCAAATAACCCCTATTTGCAGTTACAGTCTGAGGACAAAATTAACAGAATGACCTGACCTGTAGTAGAAATCATTATTTTACAGTTTTAACAATCATCAGCACCATCAGCTGATAAATTTTGAAAAACTAATTTTGAATTTGTTGAGAACAAACACAGTGTTTTTTTTAAAAGTGGACAGCAGCAATTCTACATGCGTATTATTTCAATTCACTTTTCAAATTGTTGGTCATTTTTGCTCAATTCACTTTTCAAATTGTTGGTCTCTTGATAGATATAATTTTAGTCATAAAAAGTTGTCTTTAAAGAAAACAAAATAATACTGACTTCAATTAGGTCCCACATGTAAACACAACCATCTTCAGATCCAGAAACTACGAGGGAATCTGTGTCATTGAGGCAGCTTTCTATCCTATACCTCTCATTCTTATGGCCTATGTACCTAATTAAAAATCATGTTCATTTATAATAATGGAAAAGAACTTTAATTAAAACCTAAGTAAAAAAGCAATTGTTGGAAAAACAATAATTGGTACTATTATTAATCACAGTTGTTCAAGTTATAAAGTTAAAAGTTCCTATACCTATCATCGTCCGTGAGTTACCCTGTGGCAGAATTTATTCGGGCTTTGTGCGACAACCCTCTCTAGCATTAATATCTTTCTGCAAGATACTTTTAATAAAAACAAATATACTTGTCATTAGTTTAAAGTAACAGAAGTGTCAACTTCAAAAAAAAAAATAATAATAAAATAATAAAAATAATAGTAATGTAATTTTTTAAATTGAATTTGGAATATTTTTTATTATTCTAATATTATGAGTGATATTCTCGAATTTTGTAGGGGAAAAACACTGTAATTTTTTTTCTTTTTGTAAATCACAATCAAATTTAAAAATAGTGAAATCCGTAGCAGTAACTACCGAAAAAAATGATCGATGACGAAATCACGCAAATAGATACCCTCAAAAAAGGTTTCCTAAATGCGTGTTTCAATTTTGAGGTTCAGTTGTTGTAATAAAAAATTTTGAATTTTAAAAACTGAGTGGAAATTAATAGTAATAGCTGCAAAGAAAAAAAATAGAACAAAAATTTCTGCAGAAAAGAAAACCATGTTTTCATTATTATTATTATTTTTTTGTGGTTTTCAAATGAGAATAGAAAAATCTCAAGCATTTTTTTCCCCTCTTCGATGCACAAGAAAGGCATCCTTTAAATATAATTAGGTAAAGGAAAGATAAAATCTTCCGAAAATTTCTGCAGAGAAAAGAATTTTTCACTTCCTAAATGCGAAATCTTTCTGAAAGAACTTAGTAACGTGCTGCGACAATGTTGCCATGATTTTGCCAAGGGGGTTAGTTACAATAAGCAGCTTTAAAATTAGGCAAAATTGAGAATGATAACAAAGACAGAAACAATACTTGAAAAAGTTCCCCCCATATCTCGCTTTTCTCCTAATTGATGGAAGATTTTCATTTGCAGTCTAACTTTGCATTGTTATTTTAATTTTATTAGGGATGTGTGACATTTAATTTTATTTTTATATACAGGATTACAAATTGGTCTATTTAATTAAGAATCGAAAGTTTATAAACATTATCTGCTGAAGGAGTTTCATTGTTGAAATGGCAGCATTATGACTTAATTTTAGATTATTTAATACATTTAACCCTCTCCCCAACCAAGAGACACAACTATGCCAAAGTTGCACAAATTATTTATCAGCTAGATTAGATCTTTTAATGAAGTGCCAAGTATAGTTATCATACTTTTTTTCAGATTCCACTAGATGAAGTAATCTTGTTGATGAGGTAAATATTAGTTTAGTTTCTTTTTAGTAAACTTTAGCTCTCAATCAATCAGGCACAGAGAATGTTATTCATGCATCGTAACTGTCTATTAATGTCACTATAGCTCAAGTCAGCTAAATAAAAGGATTTAGGATAAAATAATTTTAATTTTGCTTAAGTTAATTTTAAACTTTAATTGTGAATTTGTATTTAAAATGAAGAACTTTGAATAACAGCGCATTAAGTGACAATTGTTTATAACAAGTTATCCCTTTCGAGAGGATGTCTTTTAAAGAATAATTAGAAGATATTGATTTCTTTTAAAAAACTTTTTACAGAAATATAAGCTGACAATTAGTGCACTCAAGTGTTTTGCTATTGTGTCAGAAATCAATTTAAATGTGGAAGGGAGAAAACAAAACACAGTTTCTCAATTTTTACAAAAATATAAGCTGAAAATTAATGTACGGACGGGCTTTACTATAGAGTTAGTTCCGAAAAGAAAAAAATACACTATATCTATTTCTGTTTTTTTATTTTTACAGAAATATAAGGTGACAATTAATCAGATTAATTGAAAACTTTTGCTAAGTTCAAAAATAAACAGAAAGAAAAAATTAGAAGATGTATACAGCCTACAAAATATATAAAATCTTGCTGATTCTTTACTGCAAATTTACTTGTTTGTATTTATGCTAAAAATTCCGCTACCATAATTGTTATTTTCCCTTCAGTAACGCATTTTTGTTAAGGTAAAAACACTTCTGCTAAAGCCAGTAAATTGGCCAAGAAGTCATGCAAGTTAAGGTTTAATAATAGTATAATTATATTAATGTAACCACTTTGTTTTTATTTTTTAAAATAGCTATTTTAAAAGCCGTATATTCCAACCATATTTAATTTGTTTTGCTAGTATAGTTTTCATTTCTCTTTTTAGATGCATTAAAACCAAATAACAAATACAATCCTTTTATTTACTATAAGTTAATAAAGGTTAAAATGATGGATAAAAACAGATTTGATTTTTTACTTAAGGAGGGTTTGGTCTTTGACATGTCAAGTATCATAAACATATTTTAACTGTCAAAATCTGCTTAAAATTCTCAAACACTAATGATGAGAGTTACTATGCAAGTTTTAATAATGTATTCAAAATATTTATTAAAATACAGGTACACACTAATATAGAAACATATGCTAATATATAAATATTAATATACAACTAAATACAAGTATATTATGAATAATTATGTCAATATAGAAATTGTAGTTTTGAGCACAAACAAAATTTAATCTTATCTTCATTTTCTCTTGAATATCTTATAAGAAAATTCTTCTCTTCCTAAAGAATTTAAATCTTTACGCTGAGTTATTATTATTTTAGTGTTCATACTATTGAAATCAAAATAAATTGCACAATAATAATAAGAGTGGACTAAATCCAAATTATAACAATGGATCTCAACAGAATTGACAAAATCAGAAAAAAAAAGTTAATAAAAGTATAAATTTTTTATGTTTTGTAATCAGTAATTTAACTTTTAAACTTAAAAGTTTCAAATCAACCTATTTTATTCTATGTAAAGAAATAATGGCATATATAATTGCTTGAATGTTTAAAGTACTTTACAATCATTAAAATGTATTTTTCAAAGTAGCTTGACAACTATAGAGTTTCCAGCAAACAGATCTTTTATTAGCATGTCGAGTACATTTAAGCATATAGTAACGCATAAAGTACATTTATATATCAAAAGGATATTCTTTTTCTGAGAAAAGAAAAGTAGCAAATGAATATTTAAATACTTAAAATTGCTTTCAATGTGCTAATTTTAAGTGAAAATAACAAACTTTATACGAATAAAGATATGCCGTTTATTAAATTTAAGACAGTATTTTGATGTGAGGATTAAATGGTAAAATCAACAAAAACTTGTCAAGAAGTGAAATATAAGTAAACTTACTCAATATCTAAAGTAGTTTTCAAATTAAATGTTAACAAAGTTAAAATAAATGATGATAATTACTCAGAAAGCACCTCACCCCCTTCTTTATCTGTAAGTCGCAAAGTATTGTCTAAACAGCTAGCAAGAACACACTGGCCGTCTTTTGTGAAGTTAACACAGTTGACTGAACCTAAAAAATATGATAACACAATTTCAAATCAGGTTAAAATTATTTAATGGAAATATACACCTTTAAAGATCAGAATATTTAATGGCCAATGGTCTGTGTAAAAGATATCCACAATTATTAAAATTTCTTTTTACATACATACACACAAATATATATAAATATATAAAAGTTCAAAATATAGAGTAAACATTATGGAATGAATGGAAACATGGAAAAAATTACAGAATGGTGAAAAGAGAAGAAGAAAATTATTTAAATAAAATGAAATTAAAAATTTTTATTAATAAAAATCCTGGAAAAAACAAAGATATAATCTCTTTATCAGCTCACACAATTATATATGCAAAAAAGGAGTGTTTTCCAATATTGTATCAATATAGCCAAAACAAAATATATCAATACAATAGTGTGAGGAGCACTCAAAAAAATGTTTTTTGTAACAAAATAAAACACTTTAAGTAATAAATTTCAAGTAAAAAACAGGAAATTAAATGTAAAGAAAAGACAGCACAAAAGGAAATCTATAAAGCGAGTAGCGAATTCAAATGAACTTACAAGTAAGGAAATATTTTCAAGAATGATTTAAAATATTTTCGTAATAAGATTGCCATATTACAAAATTTGAAAACGGAAGTGCAAATTGAGGTAAAAGCGTAAATACAGGGTTTTCATTTTATAGTATGTTCTTACTGCAGTATTGAAGCGCTTTTGATTTATTTATTACCAAGGACAGGCCTGAAAATTGATGAGCACAAGTTAATATTATACTGGATAATTTAAAAAAGTTTATAATTAATAAGGTTGATATTTAATAAAATAATTTTAATGATTTTAGAAAATTAACATTTATTTAAAAAAGAGAGAGAGAAAGAAACAGAAATTGCCTGAAATGGATTTGCAGATGGCAAAAATATATAAATTAACAAAGAAGTTTCTAGTAAATTTATTTATAATAACATAGAATTAACTCAATTATTTTATATAGAAATTAATTACTTTAGTCGGGTATCCATTGCTTTTTTTTTACCAAATTTTGAAAGAGTTTTTCTATTAATTTTTCGGATAAATAAAAATTACTACATATTCTTTTAATTCTATTTGTTTGATTAAAAATGGTTTTAAATAGATGTTTTTAGAACCATTAGAATTCCAAGTAATTAGTTTATTTATATTAAAATTAAAATAATTTCTTTTATTGCATAAATCAATAAAGCAGATATCTTCTTCTTTTATAATACCGAAATCCAAAAAATTAAAATTATTATAATCATCATGATTACAAAGCAAGACTAATTCCTAGAGGTAAATATTATTTAATAAAATAGTATAATCTTGAAAATTAAAGATAATTAAGCCATCAACAAATCTAATATTAAGAGTATAATTTTTTTCATAATAGAGCAAAAATAAGTTAGCTAAGAGACATGAAAAATTAGATCTTTGTTTTATTCCATCAATTTGGATAAAAATATTTTTTCCAATGTAAAGATAATTCTTAAAAAAGACAAAAATTAATTAGAATTTCCCAATAATCAAAATCCCAATTATGGAAATTTTTAAAATCATAGAAATAATTCAAAAGGACATCTTTTAGTTTAGAAAGGGGACTGCCATTGAAAAGATCCTGGAAATCAAAAGTTGCAATAGAATTAATTTTATTGTGTTTAATAAATTTTAAAATTGGTTGATTATTAGTGATAATTCAAGAAAAACCTTCTTTAATAATATTAATAATTTTATTTAAATAGTAATAGAAAATGGTGCAAGGTTTAATTAGGAAAGTATTAGACCCAGATGTGATTGCTCTAAATTTTATAGGAATTTTATGAAATTAAGAACTGATAATTAAGTAAGGAAACTATATTGCTAATTTAAATTTTTAACCTTTAATATAAAGCTAAATTTTTTTTAATGATAATATTATTATTTAAATTACTGAGCTTAAAATTTTCACTATTTTTTTTAACTCTTTATTTAAAAGTTCAACATAGAATTTTTTACAGAAAATTGCATAATTATTGTTAGCTTTGTCTATAATTTTTTTTTTTTGTAGTTTTATACAAAACTTTTTTGTAGAAGCTTAATTGATTGACCAATTTTAGAAAAATTTGTTGAATTGTTACTGTTATCTAAATTTTCATTATTATTGAAAAAAAAAGCTTTCAAAGTAATAATAAATAACCGATTTCCAATCTGTTAACATACCTAAAGGTAAAAAGAATCTATTTGACATCTTTAAACAAAAACTATTGAGATCATTAAGAAAGTATTTTAGAATGTTATTAATTGTCTTATAATCATATCGTAAATGTACCCATATCGTAAATTAATTGTATTATAATCATATCGTAAATATATTGTAAATGGGTCTAAATTTTGTGCCTTTTATCATTAAATTTCTAAGTTCTCAATAATATTTAAATTACCAGTAATATGTTTATGATGTTCATCAATAATCAAAATATTTCTCTTCTTTACAGTGATATTCATTATCGGATGTATTAATTTTTCCAAAATTTTTGCTAATATCATTATAATTTAATATAGTTCTAACAAGAGATTTATTATATTCAAAGTTTTTAATTATGTTAAAATCTTTTAACGGAAAATTTAAAAAAAAAATATTATGAAATTTGATCTTATCAAAAATAGGGTTTTTAAAGTTAATAACGAAATTTAAATTATCTAAATTTTTCTTTTTATTTAAAAGTTTTTACAAGATTGAAAGACATTAACAAGATCGAACCAAAGAATTTTGAAGTGTAAATTAATAAAAGAAAAGTTAATATAAAGATCTTGAAGCTTATATACATAATAAATCTTAAGGGAGAAAATAAAATCTTTCATAGGGTTAATATTATAATGTTTATTAAAATCTTTTCCATATTAGAAATAAAATTTACATTTAATTTCTCACTATTAAAAGAGTTTTTAATCCTTCCTGATCCCCGTTTACCTAGATTTGCACGCTCATCTTTAATATGAAAAAGTAAGTAAGCTGAGGAATCATTAAAGTTAATCTGTGTATGTTGGAAGGTATCGTTTAGCTCATTCAGCAAAAAATTTTTGTAGAAAAGCATGTAGTAATTTTCTTCTTGTGGTCCTCAAAATCATCTATATCTAAACAAAATCATCTACTATTACTAAAACAATTTCGGCACTACTAAAATAATGTTCTCTAAAATAATTCAATTCCAGGTTATTTATAATTTTATTACTGTTTATATCTGAACAGTGTTGATTATTTTGAATATTTAGAGAGTTACTGGTTTGTTCAATATATTTCATATTACAAAAACAGCAGGCCAATATACAAATAGCATATTTAATTTTACAAACAGATTTGGAGCTATCGTTATTATGAATTATATGTATTTTAGTCAATAATAGGGAAAGTTTTACATGGTTTACAACCACACGTTTGATAAGATGGAAAAATTTCAGGTATTGAATGCAATACAAAAAATCTTTTGCTTTCAGAGTAACAGGATGCTGAGCTGAAGGTCAACTCTGAATTAGGCTCTTCGTATCGAGTTTCACACACAGAATAATTTAAATATTTAACATATTTTTTACCAGGCACTAAATTGTCCTTACTTTTAAAATCCATGAAAATAGGCTCATAGAGCAACATCCCAAACACACGAAATATGAAAACACACCAAACACACGAAATTAAAAAAGGAAACAAAATGAAAACAAAAGTAAACTAATAGTGGATAATATTAGGCGCTAAAGCTGCAATAAATATGATCACTAAAACATAGCACAATAAATAAATACAAAAATTATAAAGAGAAAAATGAAGAAAATTATTAAGTTTTATTTACGGTGTATAAGCTGCAAGTAAATAATGTTAGATTTTGCACATCCATTTTCTGGACAATCCTTGGTAACTAACAAATCAAACGCACTTTAGTACTGCAGTAAGTTAAAAAACTTATATATTATTTATAATAAAAATTATTTCCTTAATTTTCTTCGTTTTTCTCTTTATCCTTTTTGTCTTTATTGTGCTATATATATATATATATTTAATACAAAATATTTAAAGTTTCAGGTAAAATAATTACACCGAAAAAATCATGAAATATTCTTTTGTTAATTATTTAAATGTTTTATAAATACACAGTTACCATTATTAAATGCCATAAAGTTTAATTAAAAACTTACTACTCAAATTATCTTGACATAATAGTCCTTTTCGCATGTCATAACGTCTAATACAGCAATCTAATGATGCTGTGAGTATTTCATAGTCAGATACAGACAAGGATGTCACAGAATCTTTAGCATCACGCAAGACCTAAAATTTGAAATCAGAACTCATAAACTAAATTTTATTTTAGATGTTTGAAAGCAATTCTGATAACATTTTAATATCAAGAGCACAAAAAATTCAATAAAAATAATATCTTTTAAGATTTGATAGAGACAATGGTGTCCTAGAATATTTTGCGTCATGTGAAATTTAAAATGTTAGAAAAAAATTTAAGCAATTTAAAAGTTTTACTCATTTACCTATACCATGAAAAGTAAATATACATATGTAATGAGTAAATAGTTTTACAGAAGAAAGATTTTAAAAAAGTAATATTTCACTCTCTGATACAGACTTAGGTATCATAGAACATTTTGTATAATGTCAAACCTAAAATTAAAAATCATACTCAATTAAAAAAACTTATTTCAAAATTAATTTTTTTTTAAAAACCTCTGAGACTTCTTTAATATAGTGAATAAAACTATGTTATAATATAAGAGCTTTTTTTTTTTTTTACTTCTAAAAGAAATATGTAAATTACAGTGTTTTTAGCTTTGATATTGACAAAGATGTCATACAACCTTTTGTATCATATGAAACCTAAAATTTAAAACCAGACTTAATTAAACAAAATTCATTTAAAAAAATCTCAACAAATTACAGTTTAATATATTAAATAAAATTATGTTAAAATGCAAGAAGCAATTACTTTTACAAAATAAAAGAAAAATGTTGTAAATTAAAATACTTGATGCTCTGATACAGACAATGACATACTAGAATCTTTCACATCATGTGAAATTTAAAATAAATGAAAAACAAAATTAATTTGAATCATTATAATATGAAAAGTAAATATATATCCAAATGTAATTAATAATTATTTTCACAAAACAAAAAAAAAAAATGTATTTCATGCTCTGATACAGACTGAAATTTACATATTCCTGCTGCAATGTTGGCAAAGATGTCATAAAATCTTTTGCATCATATGAAATTTAAAATTATACTCAATCAAATAAAATTTATTTAAACTTTTGCTCATTTCCTTTTAATTTCAAAGAGAGATAAATTAAAATATAATAGGTAATTATTTTTACAACAGGAAGATGTAGGTAGGTATTTATTTACGTTGCACTAAAGCTGCACAATGGGCTATTGGCGACGGTCTGGGAAACATTCTTGAGGATGATCCGAAGACACGCCACCACAATGTCAATTCACTGAAGAAGGGATGGCTCCTTCGCCTTGGTAGCTCGACGATCTGCTCACGAAGATGAGCATTTTACGGTAGAATAGTTTAACGAAGACCGACACCACACACACTTGGTTTCTATGCAGGCTGATCAAAGTGGTCACCCACATGCTCACTGACCACAGCCAGTGAGGCTTGACTTCCGTGTTCTACTGGGAACCATGTGTTTACGATCAATCCACTGCGGGACCAACAGAAATAAGTAAAGATAATAAAGTTTTTCATACTCTAATACAAAGATGTCCCAGAATCTTTTGTATCACCAGGGGTTTGACTAGGTTTCTCTTAGAGGTATCTATTTTGTGAAAATTTAGACATAATTTGTGAAAATTAAAAATTATATTGAAAAATCAATACAAAAATATGGTAAAGTAAGAAAATATTTTCAAAACTTGTTATTAAATATAATTCATTTATGACTTCTAAATTTTTATATATTTTCCCCCATATATTCAAAAATAATTTTGCTATTGTAAACTTTTGGGGTTAAAATTGTATCCAAATTGAAAAATCCAAAAAAATCATTGTCAATATGTTCCAATTTTGACTTCCTGTAAAGTTTACAGAGGCTTGCTTTTTTAAAAGCAGCTTGTGAAACTACCGTTTTTTCTAAAGTTGAATTTGTGAAGGTACCGCTAAGCGGTAGAAAATCTGCACTGGACAGACCCCTGGTCACACAAACTTAAATATAAGACTTTCTAACAGAAATTTCCTATTAAAAACAAAAAAGTCTAACTCATTTTATTTTAATGTGTTTCAAAAGAAACATTTAAAACTTTATTTTCGTTCCTAGGTCAAATACAGCTATACATATCAATGAATCTCTTACAATTCGTTTCATATTGATTACATAAAATATATTTTTCATACCTGCTAACATTGGGGTAATAAAATAATGGAGATTTTACTAATCGACCCAATTTTGGGTTTACGACTACTGATATTCAACTTCCTAGCCTTGCAATTTTGACCCCAATCCAGTAAACAAGGGTATCCCATGCATCAAGTATTGGGAGAACTTTGCCTTCATGGAGGACTAACCCGCATTTGAGTTACAAGGAGAGGAAAAACATGAAAACCTCACACGGTTAGCCTGACGATGAGGGGACTCTAACATGTTATTCGTCTGCCACAGAGGATATTTCATGTCAGCACTGTGGTTCGTTACGACCAGTCATTGCTGGGATTCGAAGCTGGGTCCAGCTCATTGGAGGGTGAACACGTCATCCCCTGAGCCCTCACTGCTCAACTTAAAACAGTTCTGATAACACTCAACATACTGCAGTTCTGGCAATAGCACCATCTGTTGAGGAATAAGAAGTATTTTCACCTTTTTTTAAATTTAAAAAAAAAAAAAGTTTGTTCTTCAACAAATACATAGAATTTTAGGAATATACAGGTAAACAGGAGATAATCATAAAATATAGGAGTCTTCGTTAAAAAGCAGGAGACTTGGCAGGTATGATTTTAGTTAGGCTTGATGAATACCTAGTATTCAAAATATGGCCACCAACAGATTTTTAATAAAAAGTTTTTTTATCAGGAATAAATCAAAAGAAATTAAAATAACCTTGAATCATATTTTGAAATAATTCCTTATGAGTAAAACCATACACAAATATCCAACAAAGAAAAGGTAATACTTTGTGCAATATAAAACTAAAGCAAAAAATATGAATCGAGCACAATGTATTTTCATTTGTGCTTTATTTATTCACATTGTATTTTTGCGTTAGTCATTCCCAAATAATTTATTTAAATTAGCATACAAAGAAAATACGCTTAAAAATAAAATTTCTGTCAGAAACTCTAAACTTTAAATTTCAAAGTACTTCCCAAGTGGTGGTTTCACATAAATTTCGGTCTTTCAAGTCCTACCTTCCTCATTAGTGATTCATTACATTTAGATATCATATTTGTTTTATTCTCATTTAAATTTTAATTTTCAACCACTAATGTTTATACCTTTTTGAAAAAGGTTAAAAAAATACATACTAAAGGTGATTGTAATATCGCACTGTTCGAACAATAATTTCTCAGAGTCCCAGACTACTACAAAATAACGTCTTTACTTTACAGCCACTTCGTGCTAACTTTTACATATCTTTATTCACTACATCTACCCTTGATCACTGTGCCATCACAAAATGGAGGCATGACAGTGATCATTATCATATACTCCATATAAACATTCATATAATTAAATATAGCAAATATTTCCTTTGAACCAAGTTTAAGAGGTTATAAAGTATCACATTGTTTGCAATTCTTTGTTTCTTAAAAAAATAATTTAATGGATTTAAGAAAATGTAATAAAAATAATAAAGAAAAGGAAACTGAAAGCAAGATAAATAGCGTTTAAATTCATTATCTTATTAATTTGTCCAAAGATCAACAATAAAAATAAGATAAATCACCTGAATAGGCTCGCGAGACTTGCTACGGCAATCCCAACCACAAACAGTATTATCAACTGAAGCAGATAGTATAACTGTAGATTCTTCATTGAACTTAATAGCATTGACATAACCTAAACTGATGAATTATAGTAAGTTTAAGAAAAGTATAAATGTCTGTCAACATTTAGATCAAATTCACATGCATACGAAGAGAACTTTCAAAATGCTAACATTAGCCTAACTAATAAACAGCAAAGTTCATTTTTCCAGGCATTATAATCTTTCTTTCTCTTTCTCTTTTTTTAAGAATTGTTTCTAAAATTACAAATTCTAATGGTGTTTTTCTGCCTAACATTTTTATCTTTAAAATGACTAGTTGAAAATATACTTTGTTTGAAGTTTTTCTCTATGGGTTTAATTAACTTTAATAATTTAAAATAAACCACATTATTAGATTTATGATAATTTAAGAAACACATCTTGCTAAAAATTTATCAAAGACAAATGCTATTTAGTTGTACTTAATTAATTTATAAAAAATGGTGGAAAAATCACATATTTGTGTTCTATATAATAAAATAATTTAAAATTGTAAGTAGAACTCAGACAATTGACAGTAAACATGACATCCAGATTTTTTTATTTTTTTAACAAACAAAAAGACATTTATGAATAATAATAAAAGGAAGAGCTTGTGTGTGAACATCTAACTCCAAAATCATTTATACAAGCATCCTGAAATTCGAACAGGGGCATCAATGAACAATTTTTGCCCCAATTTTAAAAATTGTTAGATATTTTCAATTAGCAGATGAAAAAATGGTGGTTTATTTCATATTATTCTTGTTATTTGAAAAGCACTAACTTTTCATCTGCTTCCCTTAAACAATTTTATAAGAAATTCTTACACGTATTGCAGGATAAACTTTGTATAAAATGAACATAATACTCTGAAAATTTAGTGAGACTACATCAACTTGATTCTTATATGTTGCACAAAATATTTATTTTCTACTTTTTCGTAAAAAAAACAAGAAAAAAAAAGTTGTTCTTTTTTGCTTTTAAACATTTTAAAATTCTTTTATCTCAAGTTATCCTCCATATTGGATAGAACACGAAACCCACAACCAATGATTAAATTTCTCTTTATTCCGATACCTATCCAATCACCGAAATTTTTTTTAGACATGGTCATAAGACCACTGAACTTTCTTTTCTTGTATCAGCAACAAACAAGTGCCATGTATAAATGAAACAACTTAAACTATAAACTAGACAGAAATGAAAAGCTAATAGAACTGTTAAGATAGATAAAGAAAATATGCAATATATACATATATATATTTTTTTGTTCACGTATGTTAATTCCTTTACACATCATTTGAAGCAATATTTTAGTTTTTATGATTTAATCAGCTATTATATTTGCATTTTAATTTATTGACTTATTTATTTTTAAAATATTTTTATTTTAACAAAGTACCAACTGCTGTGCACACTATTGTTTGCCTAGTCTTGGAGCACCTTTCATAAAAATATCTTTTTAAACTAATATCAAATATATAAGTTTCAAAATAAATATTGCATGTGATAAAAAATGTGGAATTTGAAAGAAAAAAAAATGCATTTTTGCTTTAAAATAATATCATGTCATATTACTTGTAACTTGTAAGCTTTACATTTTTATATTTTTAATCAATTATTTTATTTTTTTCTAATGTACAAATTAGAAAAAAGTACATTGCAAAGTGAGGTAAGGAAAAAAATATTTTCTATAGAATCTTAAAAAAATAGTTCCCTTGTACAAAATTTAATATATTGTTCTTTGAACATCAATTATAACCTTCAAATTGAAAACTTAGAATTGCGTTACTCTTTCAACCAAAGTATTACAGTTTCAGTAATTTTCAAAAGAAAACATTGTTAAACATTTTAAGACAAAATTTATATAAAGAGAAAATAATATCTGGGAGATTAATTTAGACTACATTAATTGGATTCTTATAAGTTAAATTCAAAATTTATTTTGTAATTTTTCCTTCAAAACCAAAGAAAAATTGTTTTTTCTTTCTTAAAAATTTAAAATTATTTTATTTATTATTGATTATTAAACATTAAATTAATAGCAATTTTGTTTGCATTTTAAGCTCATTCATTTCACAAAATCAAAAAAAAGATAATTTAGTTAAAAGACATAGTGTTTTAGTTACAGGAGTTCCTTCAGTTCTTTGAGCTTCAAGCTGCTGCCTATCAGGTAAATTTGGTCTCACTATTTGATCATTATAGTCAATAATAATGATTGTGATATTATCGCATCCTATAAGAATTATTATCATTAATAAACATATTTCTTATTTTCAACACCTATGCATATGGTAGTTGGGCCATGACCTTTATAAACAAAAATCTGACGTTGTTTGTACTAGGGTTCGCTGGATTAAACCAAATGTCTTTGTTTTTTTTAAGTAATTCTTTTTAAAAGTTACTTTTTATTATTTATATTAATAGTTGTAGTTTGAATAGAAAATGTGGAAAAAACAATACATTTTCTCATAAAAATTGTACACTTAAAAGTGTAAAATTTTACACTTAATGGGAATCTGCATTTCTTTAAATAGAAACATAGATAATATTTTTTAAATGTTATAACAACTAAGATGAATTTATTTTTACAAGCTTAATTTGTAGCTTAGCTTCAGATTTTCAAAAGAAAATTAAAACATTGTTAAAGTGATTTGAAATAGCTTTTAGTGTTAACACCAGTTTAATATGTAAAGAACGTTAGAAATTAAAACATTATAAAAATGTTGAAAATTAAAAAAAGAAAGCCTATTGTTTGAAATGTGTATCTATTGATACTGACAATTTAGAAGTTGATAATTTAATATGCAACACTAACAGGACAAGATGACCCTTACAACACCCTAGTAGCTAGGTCCCTGGAGTTTTTTTCATCTAAATAATAAAAACAAAATGTTTAAAACTTCTCTTAGAATTTTATTGGAGACAGAAGACATTTTTAGGCAAATTTAATCCCACAATGGTTTCAAAACCAGTTTTGTAGGATTTAATTATTTAAATATACTTTATTTTTTAATGATTAAATTTTTGGTTTGAGAAGTTTAGAAATACTCTTGTTTCACAAAACTGAATGTAGATTTAAAAAAGACCTTTGTATTAGTACTTTCCTAAAGTAATTGCTAAGCCTTTGAGATTTTCAGGCAGTGAAAAGTGGGAAACTATAAAAAAAGAGAAAAAAATGCACAAAAGAGGACCAACTTAATGGGTATAACCCTAAGCCACCTCAGACAAACTTCTAGATATTTTTATTTACTTTTTTTAAAATTTTTAAGTTCAATACTTTTTAGCTTAACAGTAGATGGCTTGAACAGATTCCCTAATGTATTGCGAAAAAAAATGCTATATATTAAAACAATTAAGATCTCCAATAATTACATATGAAATCAACATTAAGAAAATTGCCCAACTCTCTAATAAAAGAACATACCAGCATGACCTCGAAACTTTCTCACTATTTGGGCGGTACTAACGTCCCAATAAAAAATGCTTTTGTCCATTCCACCAGATGCTATATGTGAACTATCAGCTGAAGACTGAACGTCTAACACTTCATATCCGTGTCCCATATAAGTCTTTAAGAGCGATGATTTAAAAGGATTCCATAGTTTTATTGATTTATCAGATCCACCAGTCATGCAATAGTTTCCATCAACTAAAAATAAAATAAAAGGGTTCAGCAAGAAAAACAAAGAGCATTGTATTTTAAATGGTTAACAAAACATACAATTAAAGCTGATTGTGCGAACAGCGCCTTGTTTACAAGTTAATTGACTTTTTAAAATATTAGGATAACCCATAGCTAAAGAAATATAAAAATTAAAAAAAATTTTTTTTGCTCTACCTAACTTTCAAACTTTTTGCAGTGGTTTGATCGCAAACATATGATGACTTGATGGAGTCTCAGAGGATCAACTTATAGCTTACATAGTACTACTGCAAAAATCTCTATGAAGTATAATAAAGCTACAAGCTCATAATTTTGCAACATATTTTCACTCCAAAATTGTTTGGGGCACGGTAAAGTGAAGTTTTGAATTCCACTAAAACAAAGTCATTATGCTTGACCATAGAGGAAAAGCGATATATTAAAACTTCTTTCATTGTGATTCTAAGACTCCACTTTATTATGGTCTCTAAAGGGACTTCACTAAAGCGCAAACACAAAGATTTGTTTCAGGGCGGGAATGATAATTCTGAACATTACTCGACATGGGTCGAAGAATTTTCACCGACTAATGTTGTAAGACTAAATATTGTACAGCTCATCTGTTCCCTTTTCTCAGGAACGGCTAGACTATATTTAAGGGTGCCCCTTGATTCTCGCCAAGTTGTGATTGCGGTTGATCGCCAAGCTGGGTGATGTTGAAACCCAATCGTGATTCTGATTGATTTAGAATTAGATTCTAGCGTTATTTTTAAATGTTCAATGGCTTATGTAATTTCAGGGGTCCGTTAGTTCTACATTGGATAAGGTTAATCTTGCTTCTGGTTCTAAAAAAGACTGCAGTAAATAAAATAAATCTTAAGTTTCTGTACGATGTGAATAACAATGGAAAAAAAGCAGTGATTGACTGGTGTATGAATGAAGGTTTAAATAGTAATAGATATAAATGTCCTGTTAGTGGGAGTTTTTTTTCCTTTTCTTACTGTGCTTACTCCATTACTTTTTGTTTCGATTCAAAATGCACTTTATTGGGTTTATTAGTTTTGCTTATTTTGGGTTCATTGTAATTTTAGTGTTTTGGCCGATGCTTTGTTGAAATTTTCCAATGTTTTATTGAAATATTATGTTTTGGCCGCATTCCTGTTACCACAGTGTTCCACGCAAACAGGAATGGCGCCAAACATAAGTCGTCAAGGGGCACCCTCAAGTATATTTTTACCCTCTTATTAATTGTACTCTGATAAAAATGTACTTGTACATTTTTATCAGTGCAAATCTGAAACTGCTCTCTATTCTTGATCTTAAGTATATCTTATAATTTTTGAGATTTGTACTTGTGAAAAATAAGATCTTTTTTTTTGTTTTTTATGTTTTGAAATTTTGATTCAAATAGAGTTAAATAAAATTTCCTAAGTGTATATATTGTTGAAATAGAAAATTTATTTGAATATCAATAGTTGTTGTAACTACCGTGACAGTTTTTTTCTTCTATTTGTTTCTTACAGATTGACTTTTTACCAATCCTTTGTTCCATTAGTTATTTTTCTAAGTACAATACAGAGACTCTTATGCGGAAATCAGAAAACCGGAACGAAATTTGATACATTTTCCCCACTATTTAAAAAATTTTTTTTTTCCTCATAAGATTTTTCTGTCTTTTTTAAAAGGTGTTTACCATCATTTCCTACACTGTCAAGAGAGGTAAGAGTCTTGTACTAAATAACATCAATCATTCCCTTCTACATAGGTGTTTCTTTTCAATCATACCTCTGTGAGAAAGGGTGACTTATTGAACATCTGTTTTCTTATCATCTGGCCCTTAAGCAAGGGGAGTCATTACTGCCAGCTTCTCGCAGTAAGAATATGTCTATTGATTACTTTGTCCAGAAGAGTTAAAATAAATAAATTTTATTTGTCTTCTTCAGGGATGAGATTTTTCCGCTTTTTAGCGGATTTCCGCTTTTTCACTTTTATCTCTTGAATTTCAGCTTTTTTTTTTAATCAAAGATTCAGATTTTCTAAAAATTTCACTTTTTTCTGTATTCCGCTTTTTCATGTTCATCGATTTTAAAAGAGAAACAGAAAATTCAAACCACATAGCTACCAATCCTTTCTTATTTTTACTTATTTTAGCTATGTTCTCCCATTTTATACGCAGCAGATAAGCTTTTTCATGTTCACCGATTTTAAAAGAGAAACAGAAAATTCAAACCACATAGCTACCAATCCTTTCTTATTTTTACTTATTTTAGCTATGTTCTCCCATTTTATACGCAGCAGATAAGATTTTCAGAATTTTTTACCCGCCCTCCAGATGAATCCGATTTTCATAGTTGAAACGACGCTGCTTCTGACAAGCCTTTTGGAGGTCCCAAGCCTGGAATCTGCTAATATCTCGATTCTTATTCACACGATTTTAATATCAAACATAGCTTTTCATATTTGCGTGCTGCGACTCTTATTCACACGATTTGAATATTGTATGTTGCGATTCTTATTTATGAGATTTAAAAATCCGATATTGTGATTCGTATTTACGCCTTTTTAAAAACCTATGTAGCGATTCGTATTCACGCAAGTTTAAAATTCAATGTCTTGATTAGCTCATGCAGTTTATAATATCAAACCATTCACGCACTCTAAAAATTATGCTTCATAATTCTTATTTATGCAATCTAAAACTTACGCATCATGATTCGTATTTACGCTATCTAAAAATTATGAATCGTGATTTGTATTTACGCATTTTAAAAATTCTATATCCCAGTTTGTATTTTCTCATTTTCAAAATCGTTTATCTAGTTTCATATTCATGTGATTTCAAAATCCATAATTGTTATTCATATTCACACAATTTTAAGATCAACTATCGCGATTTTTGTGAGAAGTAATTTAAAAAAAAAATTAGTTACTATAAAGGTGACTGTTTTTCTAACGACGATTATTAGTATATGTAAGTGTTACAACATCAGAGAAACTGGAAGGATATATATTCAAAACTTACATTCTGTGCTTGCAAAGAAGAAAAAATAGGATTTGTCACAAGATGTTTGAAGATGGACTAACGACTAAATATAGCAAACAAGAGCAATCACTTAAAAAGGGATTTAATTTATTTTTATTTATTTATTTTTGGAAAAAGAGTTAATTAACTCATCATCAAAATTTTATTTATAATTGCTGTTATTTATGCTATAATATGCAAAATTCTTATCAAATAGAAAACAATTATTTAAACAGTTGCTGATTGTCATGTAATTTTTGTATGTTAAGGAGTTACTATATATTTCACCTTCACTGTTATTGATATGTTTCAGAGGGCTCTAGTTAGATTAGACTATAATGTGAACACAATGATTCGGTCCATTGTTAAAGTTTTTTTTTCCAATATAATTTAAAAAGTAATATTACTGATATATTTGCTATAAATCACATAACAGTATTTATTAAAAGAAATGAAATATTAATGTATATTCTCAGTAGTTTTAATTTGCTAAACCAGGTAGTTTTTCAAGTAATAATTGTCTCTTATGTGAACTGAGGAAAAATATAGTTTCCAGCTTTATTTTTACTTTATCATTATTCCTTCTTTTTAAAATTATTTCTAAATAAATTTTTTTTTTTAGTTGGGTTTGACAATAAAAAAACTGCATTTTGTAGCGATTTAGAAAACTGGAAAATCAGTCATTCGGAATAGCGATGGTGCCAATCGTTCCGGATAATGGGTTCTCTACTGTAGTAAAATTTGCTTGATTTTTTTTCTTCTTTTACCTAGATATAATAAAAATTTCGATAAAGAAGTTTAATAAAAATTTTCTTATACTTAAGAAGATTTTCTCAAAATTAATATTTCATATTTTATTTAATATGTTTCTGTAAAAAATAATTAAGTTTGATGAGCTATTTTCTTTTTAGGAAGAGCTTGCAATTCATAAAAAAAAAGTTTCTGAAGTACAAGTCTGGATTCAGACTGCAACTAATAAACAGAATAAAGTAAGTTTTTGCTTTCTTGTTTTATTTTGAAAAGGCAGTTCCTCTCATTCAAATACAAATGCAGTAAAGTGAATTTTAAGTATTTATATTTTTAATTAAATTAATGAAGGGAAAAAGTTGGGCAAGACCCGGTAGCTCGATTGTGTTGGAAATTTGTTGTTTTCTAATGAACGAACTCTGAATTACACTTAGCTAGTCAAGAAGAAGGACCTACCATTTTGTTGTGTTGTTGTTGATTAATTCAAGTACCCTGTGTAAATAAGATTGTTTTATTTTGGACTTACATTATTAGAAAATGTTAAAAATTTCCAGTTATTGAAATATGTTTTCTGGTTTTCTTCGTTCTCCAAATTATTTTTAATTTTGGAGTGTACTAAGCCATGCACATTAGTTATAACATAGTGCATAGTATTTTTAAAAAGAGCTTAAAGAGGCTTATTTTAGTATTTTAAAAGCTTTTGTAAGTGCTTTTTTCATTGGTTGTTTTTAAAAACTGCCTAATTTTCCCTTTTCGAAAATGAGATCTTTTTCTTTACCTTGTTGATTTTCGCTACGTACTATGCAAAAGCGTGATTTTCACATTGTTCTATTCAACGTTTATCACAATTCATTCAACCACAATCTATTTTGGTGTGCTTTCGGTCCATAGCGTGACAATTATTTTACATGTTTGATGAAGTACTTTCGAGTCCGCATATGTGTCTACTGAGCTGAGTTTGGTAAGATTATTGCACTTTCATGTGCAACTCTGCTGCATTTTGCAAGTTTTTCTCTGTTTCATGCTTCATTTTCCACCCTCATATCAAATTGAAAAATCTCTTGATCATTTTATAATGGCTAATATAATCAAGAAAATAGTTCTTTGTCAGAAACTAGTTATTTTAGCATGATCGTGTAAAGTCTTTTAAAATTATTTTGCATTTTGTTAATGTATATAGTGCTTAAAAATATTTTTTGAGTGTTTAAAAGGTACTGATTTTTTGTTGAAAGATTTTACTACACACCCTGAAGAAGAAGGACCTACTATTTTGTTGTTTTGTTGTTGATTAATTCAAGTCCCCTGTGTAAATAAGTTTGTTTTATTTTGGACTTACATTATTAGAAGATGTTAAAAATTTCCAGTTATTTAAATATATGTTCTGGTTTTTTCATTCTGCTCCAAATTATTTTAAATTTTGGAGTGTACTACGCCATGCACAGTAAATTATAAATAAACATCTCACAGAGGCATAAGTAAGCAATTGCTTTATCATCTGTTGCTACTAGGAAAAAAAAATGGAAATTTAAACTTCTCTTAGTCTTGGCAATTTCTGGGCAGAGGCCAGCGAGAAGCTAAAAAAAACATTGCAGAAAGGGACTAACTTGAAAGGTATAACTCGTAACCATTCCCGGACAAATATCTACATGTTTTTTTTTTTTTAAATTTCAAGTTTAAAATCTATTTGGCACCTTATTTATTATAGTTAGCACGACAGATCACAATATGGAAATATCCCCCATTTGAGTTAAAATAGCTTCCTCAAAAAGAAAAAAGAAGAATCTGCCCTAACTAAGGATTTCATAATTAATGTTATGAAAGTGATTGAATTATCTTCTTAGCTTAATCAAAAGCTTTCTTCTTTTAACATTCACTTTATTTTTTGCATCAGAAATGATGATAAATCAAATAAACTAGGAAATGTAGGTCCTCTCAATTGGTTGTTATTTAGTAAAAAAGTTACATGTTATCTATTTAGTTTTTGTGAGGAGCAGTTCTGGCAATAGTATGATAATAATGACAAATGTAAAGAGCACTTATGATGCTACAGAAACAGATATTTGAGTATATGACCGAATTTTGTTTAATGTAAAAAAAAGTTTTATTAAATGTTACTCAGAAATGATACATGCTAAAAGGATTATTTTTTAAAATTTAAATGTGTGATTTTTTTAAAAATAAATATCCAAACGATTTAAATTATGATTTGAGTAGTAATCAAGCTGATTCTAATTGGCGTTTACTGAATTTTGTATTGTAACACATTGTTGAAAAATTAATGTACATTTTTGTTTAATATAGGAGTGTTTCCTTATTTTGAGTGGCCCACCAGGTGTAGGAAAGACTGCAACGGTCAAAGCTTTATCTAAATCTCTTGATATTGAGTTATTCACTTGGTCAAATAAGCATCAAGAAAATGCCAAAAACACATATGATGGTAATTTTTTTTTCCTCTCTTAAATTTTATTTACAAAATATTTATTATACGTGAAATTGTTAAAATATAAGGTATAAAATTTTTCCTGTGATACTTATGTTTGACTTGCCTTCTTTATTTTAAAAAGCCTCTGTCAAAATACATTTTAAAATAAAAAAATAAATGAAAAGATGAATGATAAAAATCATGATTAAAAGGTAAAAAAGAAATCAGATTTATTTGATTGAAATCAATTTTGTACTTATTTGTTTTAAATTTACCAATTTAAGATGCAGTACAATTTATAAATATTTTTCAATAACAATATGAACCAAAACTTTTGAATAATTTGGTTAATATTATCATACAATTATTAAAAACAAATCCAACAAATTATAATTTTTATTCAAGCTCAACAACCCCATGAAGTGTTATAACATTAAGGCTATTTTTGAATTTGCTAGATATTTAAAATGGTAAGCAGGTTGCAGACATTGATATAAGAGTATAATAACTATTTCTAATTTGAAGAAATAAAACTTGTAGAATGGTAAATTAAAATCTATTTTTAAAAAAAATATTAATCCATTCTAAATCCCTCATAACTTCCAGAAAGCATTTTATTACTTTTCTAAGATTGCTAATCATTAAGTTATTTTTAAACAAAAAACGCTCACTTTCTGAAATGGGGAGTCCATGATTTTTCAGAAATTGACGTCATCTGTTCCTGTCTGCCATTCGTTTACAATCGTTATGTTGTGAAGGCCATTATGTCTTGCCTTCGTTTAAATTTTCATAATGAAATCCAACTATTTTAGATGGGAAATAACTATGTGTGAACAAAGATATATAAAATAAATTGTCCCCTAATGTGGCATACTGAAAATGTGAGCTTAATCTAACGTATTTTTATAATATTTTTTAATTTCAATGGTACCCATTGAAACATTTCTTAATAGTTGGCGAGATTTTCGAGTTCTGAATGTTTAAGAATTTTTAGTTCAATAAAAAGGTTTTTGTAATGAGTTATGGATGCCTAATATTACTGATTAAAATGATGCATTATAAGTGCAAAATAAATTTGTTCTTTAATTTTTTTAGCCATCTTAAACTTAATTTTAAAGTATATTTCAATTTAATTTTGAAGATTTATTTTCATGTTAAGTTAAAGAAATGTTGAATCTATTTTTTTTTATATAGAATAGTTTTAGATTTAAAAAATGTAGAAAAGCTTAAGTTATTGATTTTATTTATTTATTCTAGCTTGAATTTAATGCAGGAAATTATCTTCAGCATAGCAGTAGACTTTGATAAAACTTGTGAGCCCAGTAAAAATTTTAATTCATTCTTTCAAAATATAAAGATAATAATAATAAATAAATGAATAAAATAAGTAAAAAGAAAAAAATACAAAACTAATATATTATAGTATAATTTATTAATTTTATTTTAATTGCATTAATCCAGAAGAGTATTGAAATCAAACATGTGTATTTATTTAGTTCCACATTACAAAAACAGGAATTAAATTTTATAAATACAGATAAAAAATTTTTTTTTGCAGAATTAAAAATGTTCAAACAAGATATCAACATTACTGTCTCTATAATCATTTAATAAATAACTAAAAAATGTGCATTAGAATTTCTTTTCATTTTGCATAAGTTATTTTTAATTCTTTAGCATTAGTGAAACGAAAATGTCTAGTTTAAAGCTATTTGCTGAAATTATGTTGCTAAATTAAATTAAAATTTAAGTATAAGCACATAGATTCTAGAAAGTGTTGATTTGTTTTTGGGGTTACTGGATGCTTAACCTGAGATTTTTTTCTTCACCTGTTTCAATAAATAGTTTTTCCTTAGAAATGTATAATGCATTAATTTTAGGATTTTAGAATTCTTCTTTGCAAGCTCTGACAAGCAGATTTGCAGAAATTAGAAGACAAATTAACAGTTACCATATTTTGAAAATACTATATAGCAGGAGAAGGAATTAAAAATTATAAATTTAAAAATAAAAATAATTTCTCCATGGAGAAATTCCTATTTACTCAAAGAATAATATTGAGAATTGCAATTTAAATGTTTAATAATTAAATAAATAAACATTTAAGGAAAAAAACTATTAGATTTTTTTTGTTCAGGAGAGAATTTTCAGTAAGCTAGGATTGAAAATAAAGAAAAGAGATGTTGTAATTGTCCATTATTTATTTATTCAAACTAGGATTTTTACATAAAAATTATTTATATTTGCCTGTATATGACTTCTCTAACATCTTCTATACCTTCCAAAAATTAAATGATATTTTCTATTTGTATAAATGTTAAATATTTTTAAAATGTCTGCTAGGCTTGTTCTGCTTTGGAGATCAGATAGCCACCAGGGAAACTCAAGCACAGTCCTTCAGTCGATTTCTCTTACAATCTTCGAAATATTTCTTATATTCAAACGGTAAAAGAATTATACTTATTGAGGTGAGACTTCTTTATTCAATTATTTAATTATCAAACAAGGAAATTTTTAGGAGTGGGAACTAAGATCATATTTTTTTTTAAAAAAATTAAATTTCTGTGTTATTTGTAAATTTTTTTTTTTTAAAATCTCATTCCTGCATTGAGGCCTTTTTTTTTTAACAAGGAAATTCATTTTTCTATGGATTGTTGACTTTTCTTGAAAGATGCTTCATAGTGATCTTGTGTACATTTTAAAAACTAAGTTTACATTATGATGAAGATAATTTAATTCATTTTCTGTTGTATGAAAAATGATAAAATATTGTTAAAAACAAACATGAGTTAAATTTTTCAATAAGTTAAGTGCTTATTTAAAATATATCCTAATATACAGACTATTATTATTATTTAGAAAAAATTACATTCCCCCCCCCTTCCATCTAATAATAAAGAATTGTAACTTAATGTTAAATGTTTTAAAATAAATCTTTTCTTTTTCTTTAACACTTTGAATCATTTTTTCTTTCTAGAACACAATTCTATAAAATGTAATACATTGAAACAAAGAACTCGGATAATTGTTCGTGGATATGAGAACAAATTTTTTTTTCACCTTCAAGTTTGACTTAAAACTGTTTCAAACTTTACTTATCAATGAGATTGTTGTAATAATTTAAAAATTGAAGGAGTCCTTCCTTCTTCCCAAAGTTGTTTTGTTGTCCATGGGGACTCAGAAATACAGCACAAAGAAATTATAATTACAGTCCACTGGAATGGTATGGAAGTTTCTAAAAGTTTAAAAGACGAGGTAAGAAAGATAAATTTGTAGTATTCACTTAGAACCAATTCACCTATTTGTAGAATTCACTTCTACCCAAAAGTGGCTTATAGGGTTTTCAATTTAATCCCTGAACTGTCTTAAATAAAATTACTAAGAAAATAAACATAACAAAACAAATTTTTTTTCCAACTGCATTCTTCATTTACTGATCTGCTTGTAACCTTTCTCTCATTATTGGATTGCAACAATTTTGTTTTTAAAGTCTTGTTTATTATTATAGGTTCAGTATTTGCAATGAAATGTAATTTTAAATTTGAACAAATAAACTGGGGGAAAAATTAAAAATTGAAAAACGAATAAAAATAATTATAAGTGAGACCATTACATTAATTTCAAACTAATTATTAAATTTTTTTATTTTTTTGATTAACAGTTTGAAGCAGATGAAAATTTTAATTTCCTGTTTGTTTTTTTACCATTTTTTGCACTCCTATGAATCTGTTATAATTGTTTCAAAATGTTTCCTACGTTCAAATTGTTTCCTATGTTCAAATTGTTTCCCATGATTCAAAAATTGCTTTTTATCTGTGGTACATAAAAATAATTTATGGAAAAAAATTAATTTTCAAGTACATTTTTGATGGCTGCTTGTGACAAGCTTTTATATATAACAGTTTATTGTGTAAACTTTTTTAACTTTTATATAACTTTAATTATAACTTTTTTTATATTTCTTTTCTTCTAATAAAAATACTTTGTCGTAATTAATTTTTATTAAAAAAATATTTATCTAAGTACAATTATGAGAGTTCAATTATTTTCTCAGAATATTATGACTTTGGATTTTGACATGCAAATATTTTCCGATTATTCATAAATTTTTTTTATTTACTCGTTTTTAAATATAAAAATGTTTATGAACAGTAATTTTTTCATAATTTTCTAGTTGGTTTTATGAATGCGTTAATAAAAATTACTTGAAAACTATTGAGTTCCTCATTAAATCATGTTTATAGTTTAAGATTATGTTTCAAATAAGTATTGTGTATTATTAATTTTATTTATTTATACTCTTTCAAAAATGCACCAAATACGTTTTTTTTCTCCATTAGGAGTTTCCAAATGCTTTTATAAGAGATCCAACACTGCTTCATTGCATTCTAAGGTATATTTGTTTTTTATTCATTTGTTTTTACTTTAGATTGAAAAATTCATGTAAAAATAAAAAGAAAATATATTTTTATTTAAAATTTGAATTAATTCTTAGAACAACTTTGTTTCCCTTGTCCATTTTTTTTCACTGTCAAATATTTTTGGCAAATTTTTGCTGCTGCCGCTTTTGTTACATGATAAAAACTAACAAATATTGGAACCCTACTAAACTCAAAATTCACTTTTATTTTTGGGATACAAAGTTGAAATGAATTAAATCTTTTGATTTAAGTCATGTTTTAAATCAACTATATATTTTTTTTAAGAAAACCACTGTTTTAAACAAATTGATTTTTTTTAATAATTGAGACCATTTATGATTAATCATTAAGTCAAAAATATGTTTGTAATTATATTCTTTACTGTGCGATGCTTTTTAAAGTCTGATCTCATTGATAATGAAGGTTTCATCCAAAAATATAAAAGGTTTTATCCAAAGGGTAAAGTATTATATTTCTAAATATACTAATAAATAAATAAAATTAGAGACTGAAAGTGGATAAGAGTAGTGTCAAACTGTTAAATTATAATTTTCCATTAACTGTATGTAAAACAATAAGCTAGGAATTTAACATAGTTCAATTATACACATTTAATTTTATGTTTATTTGAATGCTTTAAGTGTTTTAAAAACATATTTACTCGCTATTAGTGTTTAAATACTGATAACTATATTGATAAAATATAGCCCAGAGAAACTTTCAATAATATTTTTCTTTAATGTGTTCTAAAATTAACTATTTTACTCTTCATTAGGTATCTAACTGTCAAATTGCTTCCCTGTCCTTAAAAGTTTAGATGTTTAGTTTGTAATAAAAAGTTTTTATTTTATTTTTTAAATAGCATTTGAAATAGAAATATTAATAGTTTTAGCTATATTAATGTTTTAAAATTGCACTTTTAATTCATAACTTATTGTTAATGTATTTTATCAAATAATTTGGCTAGCATATATAAATTTTTTTTATTTAAATAAAAAAAAATTCAATTTAAATGAAAATTTGATTTAAAAGAAATTTGGCAACTACGTTGGGATTGTTATTTATTAACATCGCAAAATATAAATTTCCTAAATAAAAAATATGGAAGATCAGGGGTGATTGAGCTCCGGAAAAAATCCGGATTTTTCGCTAACCGTGTTTTGAAAGTTTCCACAAATCCAAAGTTCAGAAGTTTCAAGAAATCATCGATCACATTTATATATAAAAATTCTTGTATATTTTATTAAAAAATGTTTCGAACTAGAATTTATACTTGGCATTTCTTTCATTTTTAAATATTTTTTCTGGTAGAATAATAAATGTGATTAGAGATAAAAGTAAACTTACACATAATTATTCATTTAAATTATGTTGCATATAATTCATTTAGAATATCATGTTTTGAAAATTTCAATAAATAAAGATAATTTTATTTTATAAGGTAAATATTTAAATTTATAAAGATATTTATTTTTTGAATGATTTTACTCTAGAAATTTTCAGGATTTATGAGCTGGGCTCACAATTACCCCTGGAAGATCTTTATAAGATTTTTTTTCTCCTTTGCAAACATTTTGTTACCTCTCAGCCACAAGTTTCATAAAACTATAGCACTATATATGCACAAATCTATGCTAATGTTTGTTAAATGTAAAAGGTGAAAGTGAATTTGAAATATATTATGAACATACATAAAATGAATGTTTTTCTATGTTCACATTTGTGTATAGTGTCTGAAAATATTTATCAAAAGTAAGGTTAACTTTTTACATTGGTTTTTACATTCAAAACATACCAAAATGTTGCATAAATATGAAAACATCAAATATGTTTGTTGTCGAAAATATTATTATCCTTACTACTGAGTGCTTACATATTTTCATTATTTTAAAACAAAGTGTTTGTTCTCAAAAGGAGGTACGCTGTTCAGTCTTATCATCCAGTCATTTTCATCATTAGTGATAATGATGAAGGTTCTCTTTTGCCTAAGGATTTGCAGTTTTCTTTGAAAATCAAAAATATTAGGTAAATAGTTTTATTGTAATGCTACTTTTATGTGTATTAAACAAGGATAGATCAGGGAACAGATTTTTTACTGATACACTACAGGTTTTATGTAATATATTTTTTTCATCACCTAGTATTTTGGATTTGTTTTGTTGGTTTTGTAACATAACGTATTTGAACATGTTTGTTGACCACTATATAAAATATGGTAAATTTTAGGATTTTTAGAAGAATGGAGTGCGTAAAAATGAGCATTTTTCAACTAAAAATACAGTTAATCCATGACGTTTGTGAGCCTCCATTATCTGATTTGACAAAAGTAAACCATTTTTATACCCTAAGCACTCTCATAATTACAAAAATTTACATTTAAAAATTAGAAGATATTGCCAACTAACATCAAATGATTGCTTCCCTATTTAATAAAAGTTGGCTTTTTTTTTAAAAAAATTAACACATTTATAAATGCAAACAAAAAAGTTTCAGTAAATAGTTTTACTGTTTATTTTATTAATGCTTATTTTGTATAAGTATCTAATTTTTTTGTGTTATTGAAAACTATGAATTCAATGAATTTTGCTTTAAAGCTTTGTGTTTTACATGTTATTAATAATTTTTTGTTGAATACTTTTTACTTTTTTTTATTAATAATGATTTTTATGTGATTTTATAGTTTGTGTGTCACAAAAGCACTATAGTTTTGATAGTGTTATCTTAGATTTGACTTTTATTTTTATTTCACTTTTAAAAATAACTTAGAAACATTGTTAAAGTCTATCATATAAAAATAAAGAAACTTTAAAGTTTATTCCCTTAAATGTTCATATATTTATAAGATTTTTTTTTCCATTTTTTTTCAGTTAGCACAAAAACTTTTTAAGTGCATGAATAAATTGCTACAGAGTATTGAGCGTTATGAATATTGTTTGCAATCAAAGTATGAAATTTATTTAAACAAATTTTAAGATAAAAATTTTAGGTTAAAACTTTAAAATAATAAGTCAAAATGGAAAAGTGCTAGAAGCAGCTAAAACCCAAATTGTCTTATGTAAACAATTGAAATAAAAAGTTAGAAACCAAAAATAAGCAAAACTTCAGTTTAGTTAGTAGTAAAAACAGTTAGTACAATAACTTTTAGAGTGCAAAAAAATAAATATATATATATATATATATATATTGAGGAGTATTGAGTATTATGAATATTGTTTGCAATCAGAGTATGAAATTTGTTAAAGGAAATTTTAAGATAAAAATTTTTGGTTCAATTAATAAGTCAAAAAGTTAAGGCTCTAAAAGCAGTTTAAAACCAAATCTGTCTTATGTAAGCATTTGAAACAAAAAGTTAGAAAGCAAAAGTAAGCAAAACGAAATTTTAAAGATATGTATGTTAGCAAATTTTTTCGGTTAGCATTTGCTAACATGCATATGTTTAAAATTTCCTTTTGCTTATTTTTGCTTTCTAACTTTTTATTTCAATTGAATATTGTTTGTTTAGAAGGAGTAAAAGATAACTTTTTAAACTTCATACCTATGCAAAATGTTACAATACACTTATTACATAGTGATCTAAAAAATTTCAGAAGCTTTTAGAAATATGTTATCTTAAGCATTAAATTTTTTTAATGTTAAAGGAGAAAAAGAAGAAATATGTGAAAAATCTTCAGTCAAAATTAAACATATATATTTCAAGCATAAAAAATATTTGATAAGAAAGAAAAGAAACCTAAATTACTTATTTTTTAACAGAACTCTATGAACAAACATTTAAAAATATTATATCTAAGTAAAAGATTCCTGAAGGAGAAAAAATATTCCCACTTAAAGGTGAAAGAGTACAATTACAAAAATTTATTCAATAATTTTTATTTAAAAATATCCAGAAAAAAGAAAAGAAAATGCAATCAAAGTTCACAGAAATAGGAAAATGACTGAATGACATTAAAGTTTACTTTCAACTAAAGAAATTAAATGTTGACAGAAAAAGTAGAAAAAAAATTTGTTTTTCTTTATTCATTAAGTTTTTGAAACTAAAGTTATATTTTTTTCTGGCACTTTAAAAGCCACTTAATATTTTTTTTTTTTTTGTCATTTCTATTTCAAACATCGCCCCAAAAAAAAGGTTGAGAATCACTGGTCTAAATTGACAAAATGTTAATATGGGTGGGTATTGGAAATAAAATAAAGAAACGTTTCAGAAGTTTCATATTTATTTTCACATTAAATTTGAGGACTTTAACTGCAACTCTTTGCACTGTAGGCATCTTGTAAGGGTTAGCATTTCCTTTTGTTGATGTTTATTTATTTTCTTTTTCAATTTTAAAATTATCAATATTTTTTTAAAGACTTTAAGAAGCCCTTTTCTGTGCAAGGGAGTGTATCTTCCTCTGAAGATGGTAGTAAAAGGGATTCCTCTCTGTTTCTGTTTCATGCATTGGGAAAAATTCTTTACTCCAAGCGTAAGTTTATTTCCTATGGGATTCAATATTGATTGTGGTACTTGCTAAATAACTTAAATGTTGATATTTATTTTATTTAGGTGATTCATCAAAGAAATCAAATCAAGATGTACTTCCTACTCATCTGAAAATGTTTGAAAGAGATCCTCTCATTTCTAATCCTGAAGTAAAAAATTTAGAAATAAATACTATCATTATTCAAATATAAACTGCTTTCAAGTGAAAGCCACACTCCAAATTCTCAGCCTCACTCCAAATTCTTCTTTTGTTTCACATAAAAAATAGGTTTTTTGTTGTTGTTGTTTCTAATGGGACTTGCCATACGGGCAAGCCTGCTTGGTGAAACCAAGCAAATTTAAGGCAGAGTGTGCGATTCTTGTTCCTTCAGTGGCGCCATCCAATGGCCAAGAATTTGTCTTCAGCCACACACACGCCACAGCCCGTTTTTTATTGGGCGGACCCCATTCATTCATCCACAGATCGTAATTTTTTACCTAAATCAGAGAACGATCGATCTCCAATCTTGTACCCCCAGAGGTATTAATTTGTTATGGGAACATAGAGAACTTTGCAACTCTACAGATTTAACGTGCATCAGTCACCATTTAATGCACGGGGAGTCTTCGGCCGGTGGGGTTGGAACTCTCGGACATGGGACCAGCTCCCTACCGACCAAGCTATCCTGGCCCATGAGTAATATAGTAATACTAAAAATAGTTTAAGAGTTTTATTGATATCATACATTTATGACATTAAAAGGCCGGGATAGCCTGGTTGGTTGGGTGCTAGACTCACGATTGTGANATGGGGCCAGCTCCCTACCGACCAGGCTATCCTGGCCCATGAGTAATATAGTAATATTAAAAATAGTCTAAAGAGTTTTATTTATATCATACATTTATGACATTAAAAGGCAGGGATATCCTGGTTGGTTGGGTGCTAGACTCACGATTGTGAGAACAGGAATTCGAATCCAGCCATGGATTCTCTATGTAGTAAATAGTGACTGGTACACATTAAATCTGTCGGATCACAAAGTGCTCCATGTCCTCATAACAAATTATACCTCTGGGGGTACTTGATAGGAGATTGATCATTCTCTGCTTCAGGTCAAAATTACGATCTGTGGGTGAAAGAAAGATTGTATGAATGGGTCTGCCTTATAAATAGGTGTGACATATGGGCAGTGTTGTCAGTTACCGGTAACCAATCACCCCAGATGGCGTTGATTTTTGTGTTCCCAATCTTTCTTGTATTTTTGTACGTACTTCTTTTTTTATTTATCCTTTGTCATTATTTTTAATCCATGCACATTAAAATTTTTAAATAATTTGTATTCAAATTCACCAAACGTACAGGTTGATCGAGTTAAGTAATAAGTTACTACATTCAACAAAGGGGTTAAGTTCTAAAATTAAATCTTAATCTTTTTGTTTTGGTTTCACATTGATTTTCATATTACCATCTCACACATTCAGTTATAAAATTTGATATTAGAATGTAACCAAATTGAAACTAGTAAAATTCCCAAATAACCCTAAAACAAAACCCTAAAAACAAATTCCCCTAAAATACCCACTGAAGATAAAACATCCCCCTAAATTTCGGGGGGAAACCCCTAATTTGGCAACACTGCATATGGGTATTGCCTTAAAAACTCACAAATTTTTTTTTTGAAGTTTAATGGAAACCTTGATTTTGCGGTGAACCGCAATTAGCAACTAATGAAAAGAGTACTGATTTGAATATCTTAAAAAATTTAAAAATCTCAAGCATTTTTCTAAGTAATTTTTGTATTTTTTAAAAGAAATCACAAAAGGTTAGCGTTTTTCACAAATTTTATTTTGTAGTCTCGTCTATTTTTTACGACCATTTTTAATAAATCTTGTTTTATGATATAAAATGAAACTTGTGGAAAGACCCTTATCATTTTGAGCTTTCTTTTAAAAAATACAAAAACAACTTAGAAAATGGCTAGGCACTTTTTAAATTTTTAAGATACTTAAATTAGATAATTTTCATTAGTTGCCAAAATACAATTCATTACAGAAATATGAATTTTTTTTTTAATTTTCTATGTGTGCGCAATATAAGCGAACTACTTTAAATACTCATATCTTAAATAGTTTTTATTGATTTTTTTTCAAATTTTAAATCCATATTTTTTTAAATAATTTTAAATTTCTCTAACAATTTTGTTTAATTATATTAGATATTGAAGTTATAAAAAANCCATCTCACACATTCAGTTATAAAATTTGATATTAGAATGTAACCAAATTGAAACTAGTAAAATTCCCAAATAACCCTAAAACAAACCCCTAAAAACAAATTCCCCTAAAATACCCACTGAAGATAAAACATCCCCCTAAATTTCGGGGGGAAACCCCTAATTTGGCAACACTGCATATGGGTATTGCCTTAAAAAGTCACAAATTTTTTTTTTGAAGTTTAATGGAAACCTTGATTTTGCGGTGAACCGCAATTAGCAACTAATGAAAAGAGTACTGATTTGAATATCTTAAAAAATTTAAAAATCTCAAGCATTTTTCTAAGTAATTTTTGTATTTTTTAAAAGAAATCACAAAAGGTTAGCGTTTTTCACAAATTTTATTTTGTAGTCTCGTCTATTTTTTGCGACATCATTTTTAATAAATCTTGTTTTATAATATAAGATGAAACTTGTGGAAAGACCGTTATCATTTTGAGCTTTCTTTTATAAAATACAAAAACAACTTAGAAAATTGCTAGGCACTTTTTAAATTTTTAAGATATTTAAATTAGATAATTTTCATTAGTTGCCAAAATACAATTCATTACTTCATTACAGAAATATGAATTTTTTTTTTAATTTTCTATGTGTGCGCAATATAAGCGAACTACTTTAAATACTCATATCTTAAGTAGTTTTTATTATTTTTTTTTCAAATTTTAAATCCATATTTTTGTAAATAATTTTAAATTTCTCTAACAATTTTGTTTAATTATATTAGATATTGAAGTTATAAAAAAAAAATTTAAAAAAAAACATAAGACAATGGAATTTATTTTTTTTTAAATGTCTGTAACTCCATAAATATTTAGTTAGGTTTATGAAATTTTATGCTGTTATTGCAAATAACAACCAAAATAACCTATACAAGTTACAAGATTCTTGATTGGCTTTCTGGCATAGGGTGTTAAAAAATCCTTTTTTTTTTTTTTGTAATTTATTGTTGGTTTCTCAAACTTCTGAAAGTTTTAAGCTTTATAGCTAAGTATAAAAAGAAATCTCGTGAACTAAAATCCTTGAGAAATTTTAAAAAAAGTCAAAAGAGAAGACAGTGTCTCTGAAAGTGTCTCTTCCAATCGGGTAGTTGATACATATTTTTTTACGATAAGTAAAATCNGTCTAGAGGTCTGATGTTCAATTTGTCCTCTGTGAATAATAGGAGGTGGAGAGCAATGCACAAACCTCAATTTTACGAAAATTTATGTAAGGTATATATGAAGATTCTTTGATTGAGCCAAAATTATTGTTTTGTAATTTTATATCTGCTTTCATTTTTTTAAAATTTTATTTATTTATTATTTCTTTTTTTATCTTACAAAGGCGGTTGCAAAAATCTCTGAAGTATGCTTTTAGTGGTAAGACATTATTTGAATAGTTACTTTGTTCCTATTTTTTATTTTTTTAAAGCAAAATTATAAACTTGCTTCCAGCATTACCACTTAGTAAAAATATCTTAACTACACTGTACTTATGTAAGTAGTTGAAGATTAATTACAGTTTTGTAAAATGAATTTTGTTATCTATGTTTTAATACATGGTGCATAGAGTTTTTAAAAAGTGCTTAAAGGTGCTTATCTTCGATTTTCTTTTTTTAAAGGCCCTTAAGATGCTTTTTTTATTCAGTGTTTTTAAAAACTGCTTAATTTTTCCTTTTCAAAAATCTGATTTTTTTGTCTTTACTTTGTCAATTTTTGCCGCATATTATGCAGAAGGGTGTTTTTCACATTATTCTATCCAACGTTTTCGCAGTTCATTCAACCACAATCCATTTCAATGTACCCTCGATCCGTAGCATATGAAAGCGCCAATCATTTTACTTGTTTGATGAAATACTTGCGGGTCTGCATGTGCGTCTACTGAGCTGGGCTCGCTGACATTCTTGCTCTCTCATGTACAACTCTGCTGCATTTTGCTAGATATTCTCAATTTTAGACTTCATTTTCCTCATCCTGATATCAGACTGGAAAAACTCTTGATCTTTTTATAATAGCTAATATAATCAAGAAAAGAGTAACTATGTCAGAAACTGGTTATTTTATCATGATCATGTAAAATTTGAAAATTATTTTGCATTTTGTTAATGTATATAGTGATTAAAAATATATTTTGAACTCTTAAAAAGTACTTAAAAGGTGCTTATTTATTGTTGGAAGATTTGGCAATTCTCTCAAAATATTTTTTTTTCTTGGAAAAAAATTATGGTTTTATTTTTTTCTAATAATAAAAGAGACACTATGTTACAATGCCACAATTTAAAGAGGAACCAAATCCAAAAGCCACTAATTCTTCCATGCATTATAGTTGATATAAAATTGGCATGGGCATAAATAACATAATTTTCTAAAAAGTTTCATTCTGCTCAAAATCTTTTAAAATAACCTAACAGTTACTATAGATTACAATTCTCAGAGAAAATATTTCTAGGTTTTTTTTTCATTATTAGGAAGCATTGATCTTCCTAGAAAGCTTTAACTTTTTTAGACTTTGGAAATTTTTAACTAGATTCTTAGATCCACCTAAAATATTCAAAATTTGTATTTGTATGTTTTTAAACTTCTTCAGAAGTTTAAACTCACTTGAACTTCGTTTAAACTTCTTGAGAAGGCCAAGGCCCACCCTGGGCTGTCGAGCCATTGATGATGATGATGTTTTTAAAATGGGTATTCATAGCTGCCAACTCTCCTGGATTTACCAGTCACATACTGGATTTTGCCATTTTTTCCCAGAT